AGGATGGACAGAAGATTGTAGTGCAGGGCGAGCCTGGAGATGAATTCTTCATCATCTTAGAGGTATCCACTAGTGCTCACATATACACATGCCTCCATAGACCCTGTGTTTGTCACAATAACAGGAGTTTACCCTTTGAACTCTGAAGTGTTCAGAGATGTCATTACTTGTTTCAGTTATTTCATGTTGTTGGGCAGTCCATCCTCGCTGGTTGTGTTATTCAATGCGTTCTATAATTGAATAGTTTCATCAAACAGGTTGGGAGGTGTTGGATCCACTTGTGACTTACTTTCAGTTGTGGATCTATAAGCTATTACACCAATTTGTTATCCAGCTCGCCCTCTAGTGGTCATGTGAAGTGATGTGATGTAATTGATTTAGAGCTGAAACCATTGGTTGATTAATTGACTAGTTGTACAACAGAAAGTCAGGGAGTTGGTGAGACACATAAAACAAAGAGTCACCTTTGACTTTAGGAAGTTAAGATGGGCATTAAAAAAACACTTTATAGACAAAATAATGAATCATATTACCGACAAAATAATCTGCAGATTGATCGATAATTAATCATTATTTGCAGCCCTAATAATATTACATTTATTCTTAAACTGATGAAATGTCAAGTGTGCATGAGATCATTTCACTAAATTACTTATGTCTGTATTTCTGCTTTTTCATATGTGTTCATTCGTTTAATTGGTTGAATATGTTGTCAGTATGGCTTTGGAATGTGATGTATTGTCCCATAATTAAGTAATGTGTAAGTCAGAGAGAAAGAAGTGAATGCTGGGTGTATCATGAATTTCTGTTTCCCACTACCGACAATCAGGAGTTTGTTATTAGTTGATGCTTACTAGATGATTCATTTATTTTTTACTCTGTTATTATAAAGTGTTACTAATTATTTCAAAATGCTAATTCTTACACAGATGATAGATTTTCTTCTGATACAAGTTCTGATAAGAGATGAACAAGATAAAGCTGCTTGATGCAAACTAATCTGTGTGTGTGTGTGTGTGTGTGTGTGTGTGTGTGTGTCTCAGGGTTCTGCGGCTGTGTTGCAGCGTCGCTCAGAGAACGAGGAGTTTGTGGAAGTGGGGAGGTTAGGACCATCTGACTACTTTGGTAAGAACTAAAACATCACGGCAGTCTTTAATGTCATTTAAGTGATTCATTTTATTTTGTCAAGCACTGTGCACCTTCCTTGTGATTACAAAAAAGATTATTAAGTTGGGCTCCATTTTTAATGAACTTCACTTCTGAATGTCTCTGAAGTTGCTTAGAATGCATTCTATATTTTTGTTTTTGAAACTGTGTGTCTGTGTGTGTTCTCCAGGTGAGATCGCTCTGCTGATGAACCGTCCCCGCGCTGCCACTGTGGTTGCCCGCGGCCCCCTGAAGTGCGTCAAGCTGGACCGGCCTCGCTTCGAGCGCGTCCTGGGTCCCTGTTCAGACATTCTCAAACGTAACATCCAACAGTACAACAGCTTCGTCTCGCTGTCTGTGTGAAGGGGCGTCTCTCTCCCCCACCCTTTCCCTCCCCTCCACCCTTTCCCTCTTTTTCTCCTTTTAGACCCAGGGTCCACCAATGCAATTTGCTTTTCGTCACTTTCTTCTTCTTCTTCTTCTTCTTCTTCTTCTTCTTCTTCTTCTTCTTTTTTCCGTTGGCTTTTCTCCCTTCTTGTTTTTGTTTCACACAAAGAGATCATTTTGTTGTTACTACCTGTCACGCAGAGGTGACTTTCAGCCATTCACCAGCGCTTGTACCAGCTGCTGTACGCTACTTTGTAGGCACAGTTACATCACATGTTACCTATGTTATATATGTATTTGCTGGTTACGCTTTCTTTTTAGACTTAAACACAAAGCAGGATTTTTGGGAGATCTAAAAGACATTAGGGTCTCAGACTGATGAGACAGGACAATCAACCTTTACATGGCGCTTTTGGTGAATTTGTAACATATTTATGTTGTAGATTGAAGTGAAGAGAGGACTGCTTCTTCCCCATTAAAGAGTTTCCTTTTTGACACCAGTTAGCCTGATTAGATGTACAGCGTAGAGCAAAATCCAGAAACTGTAGAAGGCAGGAAGAAAAAAAAAAAAGATTGCATCAAATATTGTCAGATGTTTTTTAGGTTCCAGCTGGTTGTGCTCCATTTGTTTTCGGTTACCTTTGATCGGTGAGACAATGACAAGTCTGTTCTGCTTCATTTGAAAGAGCTTGTACAACTTAAAGGTCTTTATTTTATTGTGCAGCTACCAGGCTAGTGCCAAATGTTTAATTATTGTCACAACGCAAAGATGCATAGCCGTGGAAATGCAGTGCGTGTTCTGTTCCCTGACTATTTGGAGCTCCGAACAGGAAGTAGTTATTACCCATAATGTCCTCTTTAATCGGTAGAATGACCATACAAGAACTGCCTTGACTACTCTGAGGGAAAAAAAACAAAAAAGAAAGGAAAAAAAACAAGAGTATTAAGTGTATTTCAGTATTCAATTTTTTTTAGTATATACCAAATAACTTGGTCACTCTTCTGCTATGGTTTGTAATCAAAATGTTATCATAGTATAGTTAAAATGATCATAGTTATATTATTATCATTGAGTAAATGATAAATGATATGGTTTGGAGTGATGGTGATCTTAAAAAAAATACGTTTAACTGTCTTTTGTAAACACTTATTTTTCCATAAATTCTATTTTAGGTGTCCAGTGCCACAAAGTAAATAAATGCTTCTTCTTGTCAACTGACAAACAGTATGTAATTGTATTGTGTAAAACGTCATGGGTTAAAACTTTTTAAAATAGATCAAATGGGTAATTACAGGTTTATTGAAGTGAAGTCTTGAAGAAAAAAAAAAAAAGTGGTTTATGGATTTCAGGACATCTGAAGTATTTATGTATCACAGGTGAAGCTGACAGGCAGAGTGAGCAGATATTTATTTAAAACTAGTGTCATTGCTTATTGCCTATTGAAAAGGTGGCTGTCTTTTCATCAGAGTAGCTTGTGATCTGTTCTCTATGCTTACTTGGCATGATGTTTTTAGGCATCCAGTGATCCGGTATGAATGGAAGCGTGTATTAAAAAGCGTGCCCTGCAGCTGCGTGCAGGGACTTTGTCAAATATTTGGTTTGTTACTCCCTAGCTTAACTGCTTCATGGCTATTTAGATGGCATAAAATGTTACGTCTGTCCTTTTTTTTTTTTTTTTTTTTTTTTTTTTAAAAGATCTTTACCAAATCACACAATGTTGACTTCTGGATTATAGGCTTAACTCTTCATTCCTGCCTCACTGTCTGTTACCAGAACTGACATTGAACCAGTCATGTGTCTGTTTCTGTTGTCTCATTCAGAGCTCTTGCTTAGAATCGAGATGTATGTTTGTATGTCCAAAAAATATTTGATTTTGGTGCCGATTGCAGGGTAGTCAGGTTAGTGAGAAAAAGGTTTTGTTATTGGACATGAGTGTATTTTTCGTTACTGTTAAATTGAACATCTTCATCTGTTCCCCTCCCCTCTAACCCTGAGGTTATCCTCGTGGATTTGGTTACATGTGGATTTGTTTCCATTGACAACACATCCTGTTTATCCTCATCTGCTGGAAAATGACTCCGTTAGGGGTGAGGGTTTTACTCACCTTTTGTCAAAATATTGTTTTAATGTAAATAGTATCATTGGTTTTAGTCCAAAATGTTTTTAACCACACTGCAATCGTCCCGGTTTGCCTTAGCTTACCTAACCTGGGCTTACAGTAGTAGTCAGTCACTCCTGCTAGCCCGACCTTCAGTGAGTTTGTTTGGCCTGCGGCGCAGAGAGCTGCAGGTGATCAGAGGACCATTCTTTTTCTATTCTACCCTGTATTCAGTTTGACCTCCTGTATGTGCAAAGATGTTTATCCTTTTGGTATAGATTGTTCCAGATGGCAGTTTAAGCAATAAAAAAGTAAAAATGATTCAGCTTTGTCTCAGGTTTTGTCCTTTTTGTGTTACTCTACTTGCAATGGTGGTTCGAGTTCAGCCTCCAAGTTAAATCATTGTGAAATCTGGGTGTTAAGTGGCTCTGAAAACAGATGTAACATGACATCTGTCCACCAGGGGGAGACATGTCACTGCTCTGAAAAGCTTTATGATCATTGGTAATCATTGCTGCACCAAACCGTATATAAAAAGTCTATTATTTTTAAATGTATAGTCACATTTTAAATGCTCACCATTCTTTTTTGTGAACTCACATTGTTTTTAAACATGCTTTGTCCATTTTCCCTCTTAAGAAAATTTTTATGACATTAGACAACTTAGGTCATTTTTCCATGCAATATTTTCAAATAATGAGCAAAAGTATTAAACTTAATTATTAACAACTGTACTTGAATCTGGGAAGCACCATCATTCAATGTTTTAAAATTGTTGCTCTTAGTTAGTTGGAGTTGGAAAAGTTCAGTCTGTTCCTTAAAATGTTTTTCCTGTTGCTACGCTTTAATGAAGATATACTGTATAAGTGCTGTGGTATGAAGACCTTTACATTTTATGCTCTTGCTGTTTATCTGCCTGCTTTTCAGCCTGATGTCTGGCTTAAGATCCCTTTGAAAAATAGTTGTGGTTATTTGTCTTACTTTACATTACATAGTCACGTACCAGGTTTGCCAGGTAAGAACAAAGAGAAGCTGAGACATGTTCACAGAGGAAAACATATTCACAAATTTATAATAAGACAAAAGCTGGCTAAATTATTACGGCAATATGATAGAACACACATTTCTCAGTTGATTTAGGTTAGCTATTTCTCTGTCTGCCTGTTTTAGTTGGCAGTGACATCGTAAAGCTGTTTAAACACTAATGAGACAGAAGGATTACAAGTCTGGAGAATGGGGTGGAGTAAACTTAAATAGCTGTTTAATAGGTAGCACTTTTCACACACACACACACACACACACACACACACATATTCTGCTGTTACTTGCATACTGGTACTTGTAATAATTTTTCTTCAACTGTCACCATGCCATCACATAAAATAACTTTATTTTATAATTAAACATCACATGGACACACATCTTTCTTTCCATAATCACAATATTCACCAGCATTAATTTGATAAACAACTGATCCAGTGCATCACAGCTCTCTCTTACTATGGATTCACGTATCAGTGAAATAGTCACAGATACTGCTTTGTTCTTACTCTCCCAGCTAGTTTTCAGTGTCAAAGTGGTCTTTAATTGTTCCTTAAAAGGTCTTAATTTAAATGTTTTAACCCCAAAACCGCCCTGTTGGTGTAGGTGCACATGAAAAGGGAGAGCCGTGTCATGAAATGCACCCTTGGGGGAATTTATGACCATGAAAGAAACAAAAGGGAAAAAAGGTATGGCCTCCTCTGTCAGGAATTTCAGGCCTGCAGCGATTCAAGTTCTGAACCTCCATAAAGAGCTTACTTCCCTCTCTTGACAAGACAGCATCTTCCATTAATGGCTTGTTCCTTAAATCGAAACCATCTGAGCCTTGTTTGCTTACAAGGTGGCTGCGCTTCATCATGAAGTGTTCTGCGGCACACAGAGCAGTTATGAGCCTTTCATCCTCTGTTACCTGTCCTTTTTTATTTCTGTGGCAGTCTGAGGTTTCGCTGTGGATTTGACAAAGTCCTTTGTGATCACCTCGTCCTCGCCCAGCCTCCGGACACACCGCTGGACCACCCGGAGGACCTTCTGTAACCTGCGGTCCAGCGCTAAGAGGTGGGGCTCCGTGAGGATCGGCTGTAAAGGGTCTCCCTCCAGGGACTCCCTCATCACGTCACTGAGCCTGTACTCCGGTCGGGCCAGGAGCTGGAGCCGCAACAGAGTGGAGCGCTTTATCCTGAGGAAAGAGAGAAGAACTTCATTTATCCACCCCCAAATTCTTTGCTTCTTCAAAAATGACACTAACACAAACTACACTGTGTAACATTACACTTACATGCAGCACTGAGACAGTGGAGCCAGAATGGACATTTCATCTTGAGAGTGCTTCCCAAACCTGAGCACAAGATGTGAAACAGAAATTAAACCACAAAGCATCATTCGAGAATAATAATATTTTAATGTTTGTCGTGTTTTTGTCTCACCCTCTGGCATTGTCCAAGTGAAGAAGGAATCCTTCGTCCCCAAATTTGGTGAAAATCTCATAGTGGTGCCTGTCCATGTTGCCTGTAACACATGGCCGAACACTTTAAAGAAATGTGTAGAAAGGTTGTTTCTGACAGTAAAAGTTCTGGCTTATGTGCGTAGGAGATGATAGAAGGAGGTAGTGGTATAAAATACTTATGAGGAAGTCGAAGATGGACATGTCTATGATGTTGAGGAGCCTGTTGCCTGAGTTATAGGGATACAGCTGCTTTATGGTGTCACAGAAGAAGGGATTCACTTCCCACCTTTAAAAACAAGACACACAGACACAAATGAATTCACTGAAAGGTTCTGATTCAGGATATGTTTACTACATTTGGATGTCATTTGTTTTTGAGGGCTTTGTACTGACTTTAATCAATAGTGACAGCTGAAGAGTGACAGAAAAGGGGAAGAGAGAAAGAGGAGGACACGCAGCAGAGCCACAGGTCGGAGTCGAACCCATGGCCACTGCAGCAAGGACTCAGCCTTGGCTCTACACAGCTCTACCAGGTGAACATCCCATTTAGATGTTATTTTTGACCAGACTCTCCTTACAAAAACCTCTCTGGCAATATTTGTTTAAAAGGTGTTTAAGTATATTATTATTGTCATGTAAATTTAGATTTCGAGACTTTATAATAATATGCTTCTATACTGCATTTTATGCTGTTCCACTGAGGTGGATTTCACACACATTAACACACTCAGCAGATTTATGGCACAAACCAGAAAGTCTGGTGCAAATTAACTTAAATTACAAAAACAGTGGATGGTGTAGCAAACAAAGAAAGAAAAAAACACTCTTCCATCTCTTTTATCCTTAATTGCAAAAGCCTTTGACCAAAGAGATAAACATACAATTTGATTCAGCATTGACAGGATTTATGGGAAAATCTGGTCTTGTATTTTATTTTGAAAACACTAGAATCAGACTGGAGGCCACCAACAGTCTCAGCCGCAGTCGGGTTAGAGACAGTAAAAGACACAACAGTAAGCGAGTCCTGACAGTATTATAATGACACAATCTTCCCACTGAGCCACACAACAGTATTCTAAGCATTTGTTCTATGAAATAAAATGTTATTCCTCTTGTCGTGTACAGAGGTTGAGGTCTTACTCTTCTCGTCCGGTGAAGGTGTAGGAGCGTATCCAGGGGTTGGGGATGGAGATGCGGGGGGCGATGCTGAGGCCGGGCAGGTAGGCAGACAGGGAGCCCTCCAGCAGGTCGGGGCTCCCGCACACCGCGTACTCCGTCTTGCACACATACAGGCACTTGGCAAAGAAACACGTGTTGTTCGCTGTTGGGAAGCAGAGCAAAATGGTGGAATATGAAATGAGTTTCCTGCTCACATACAATTACATGCTTTTTGATCAGCTCTGCCTTTCCTGCCAGCTCTATGTTCTGTCATCCAGTCCATTCCAGCCAGAAAAAGATCAAACCAGAACCAAAATAACACACAGATAGGCTTAGCTTTGTACTGATATGTGTTGTTTGCAAAGATATAGGGACATACTGTAGGAATTACAGTGTTACTAAGAGTCAGATGTTGGCCACGTAATGGTGTCATTAAACGGGTCAGGGTAATGCTGTTTCACCCTTGCCAGGAATAAAAACACCTTACATTTATAATTGTTTGGCATAAAAATTGAAATGGCACAAAACATCCACTAGTAGCAGCTTCATTAGACACACAGTGGAAGTTCAAAACTTCTAAAAAAAAAAAAAACAATCTATAAACCTAAACAAGCAACATAAGCTACAGGACACCAGAAGCGACATTTTAGGAACCTATTTGCTTTCTTGCTGAGAATCAAATGAGCACTCTTTCGTCTGCCTGTTAGATATGAAGCTAATGGTTACAGCCAGTGGACGGTTCGCCCAGTTTAAACTCTAAACAGGAAACAGGTGAAACGGCTATCCTGGCTCCGTCTGAAGGTTCAGCACCTCTAAAGCTTACTGATGAACATATTATATTGTCTGAACTGTTCCTTTTAAAAGAGGCCTTCTGGTTCTTCACCTGGCGAGGTGAAGAAGACCGCTCGTAGGTCTTCGTTGTGGGTGACTTGGAGGACTTCTCCTGTGATGTTCACCAGCCTGCCAGCCACCGGCGGGACCCTCCGGAAGTCCAGGACCCTGACAAACAGGTGGACGAGATTCAGAAGAAAACCCTTTTAGATGGAATTCATCTCAAGTTCTTGTGTAAGGAAAAGTTTACAGTTCACACAGTTCATGCTTACATAAATTCAATGTAAATGTAACGTGATCCCTGTCTGAGGATGATCTTTATCTCCTTTCACATAAACGCACGGTTCACTTTTTACTGACTCCTATCAATGAATGCACCCTATTGTCAGTCGCAGTCACGCTGTATAATCTAGCTGGCTGCATTCATATACGCTACCAAGGGCTTATCCCTTCCCCGAGGACCATATTTCAGTCATGTCTCACAAACAGTAATCAAACAACAATCAGTGTGTGAAGCTGAATGGCTGTTTCTCAAATCGTCGGCATTCCCCAACTGCTGATTGCTAGCGATCGTGATAAGAGCTTTTGGCAGCCAAACACAAACATAACAGAGAGAGAGAGACAACACACTGCCACAGATTAAAAACACACCACCAGAAATTAAAAAACCAGAGAGCAGACACATAATCTGTCTGTCTGTGTTATTGGTTTGTTGTAGGAACTGTTAATGGTTATCGCATTTCAAAGGCGATAGATACTGAAAATATGAGCAGATATACAGTATAATAACAACCGTGTGGAATTATAGTGATAGAGTTGTTGACGTGGCGCTGTGGTTGTTCTCTGTTTCGTGTGGTGAAGTGATGACTGATCATTGTGTGTGGCTTCTTAATGATACTGTCTAGCTCCGATGACTGCGCTTCAGAGTTGATCACCTCAGTTAATGTGTTATTACACAAGGATGTGTGTGTGTGTGTGTGTGTGTGTGTGTGCGTTCTCGTGTTTGTCCATAGTCTGTGGTTTATGCTGATCAGCCAGTTTGGAAATCCTGGGCTGGGCACACATGTTGCAATCTTTGTGTGGGCTTGGTGGTTTATTTGTTGGCAGCAGCAGACATAGTTTTAATGTATATCTATGTGTTGGAGACCATTTATGAGTTTTGGATCTCACTGCATTTTGTTTCTGTTCATCAGTGGCGTACTACTACAGTGCTACCTCCCTGCTTCTTTAATATTACGATATCATTTCATCATTCCTCCTCTAAGAGACAATCAATTCAAATGCATTTTGTAATGTCAGTGATTTTTACCATATACATTAGCACACAATAGCGTGATGATCACAATGACAATGCTAACATTACGATGCACAGCAGGTATGTTTACCATGTTCACCGTCTTAGTTTAGCATATTAGTATACTAACATTTGCTAATTATCACAGAGTACAGCTGAGTATGTCATTAGTTTGGTAGATATTTGGTTAGATTTAACCTAATTAACTTAAAGTTTAAGCTTGACTTGATGGTGGCATCCTGAGGGGAACGTGAATGTTTGAACCAAATTTGATGGCAATCCATTCGATTTTGTTGTTGTTGAGATATTTCACTCAAAACCACAAATGTTAATCTCATTATGGCGCTGGAGGAAAAGTCGGCAGCAATCTCTGGGGACCATGAATGTCTGTACAAGAGTTTATGACAATCCATCCAATAGTTATTGAGGTATGTCAGTCTGGACCAAAGTGGACCGACAGGAAGACATTGCCATTCCAAGAGAACTAATCACCAGCTCTAATAAGTTACACTGCTGTTGGGAAACATTAATAATAACCATTGGTAACACATTTTTACTCACTTTTATACTTGCTGTTTATAGTTTTTACATTTGAATCCCTGAGTGTGACTTTAAATTAAAGGGCCCAAAGACAAACATTTGTAGCACTTCAGTATACACCAGAACCATAACTGGGAGCAATAAAATGACAGCTGTGCAACAAAAGCTAAAATTACTCCCAAGCACCACTGCCGCATAAATACTGAGAGACCACTTAAAGCGTGTGGCCGAGATGATACTAACACAGGAAAAACAAATAAGTGATAAAGAGCGTTATGAGTGAAGAGGGGGCTGCACCTGTCCAGGTGAAAGGCAGCAATCTCTGCATTGTGTCTCTGGAAATCTACAAAGTAGAAGAAGTCTTCTGGAGTCTCCTCGTCCCTCTGCTGCCTGACACACACACACACACACACACACACACACACACACACACACACACACACACACACACACACGAACAAGACGTACACACAGTGATCAAGCTGTCAGTTATAGTAGTCTGTAGTATATAATCAACACGACAAATACTATCATTTTAACAGATACTAGATGATTTAGGCTGACATGAATTAACACAGGACACGACGTGAGATAATGTACTGTAATAAATAGTATATGAAGATTTTATGGACACCAGCTTTATCTTTTTTAAACTGGATTGCAGAACCACAGTGCTGTGCTTCTCCTATTGGGCACTGACATAAAGTCCAGTCATGCTGTTTGATATAGGTCAGGGACTTATCAAACATGGATTCAGTCCTCACCTCATTGGTTTGAACATGGCTTTAGCAAAGTTCTGCATCTTCAGAGCCAGTTTCAGGTGATGTCCACTGGGCTTCACAACTACAGAGGAGAGATGGAAAAAGAAAGAAACATTGGATGGTCGGTGATATCAGGTACACGCTGGTGGATTCAGTCAACTTCAAACCACACATTTCCTTTATATTATGTAGAAACCGGTTCACTTTGTGTTAGCTTGAGTTTGAAGTAAACAGTGATCATCAGGTAACTGAGTCAGTGTTTGGGTTTTCATCTTAATGCCCCAGAGGCTAGTTCGAACTGGAATAGTTTCTAGATGTAGCCTGTTCCCTGTGATAAAGTAATTGGGGGTTGGTCACACAGCTTGCGCTCAGCTCTCTCAGCAGACTTGTGTTCCTCTCTCTGTCTGGCTGTATATTATGTCACAGCAGTAAGCCAGACTAACCACACACATGCCTCCCCCCTGCTGCGCTCTGTGAAACTCCAAGGTTATTAATAGTTAACAATCACATAAAGGTTTACAATCGCTACTTTTTTTTTTTTCTGGAAATGAATGAAAAGAGGACCAAAACTGGCACAAACAGCCCTCGTGGCTGATGAACGCTGTCGCTGTTTGGTTGCTGAAATAATGAGAAAGCCCTTTGAGGTTAAATTTAAACCTGCGGGACGGATTGTTTTGTTGCATTTCTTCTTGGCAGAGAATGATGTTTGCGTGGTCAGTCACTTCACTGCGCTGGTGAGGCACACACAGGACAGAAAGTGAGAGAGAGCAGCATACATTGTTCACAGTTAAATAAAAAAACATTCCTTTAACAAGCAAATGTGTAAGACTGAGAATACTAAAACATTGGAGCTCTTTTTGCCATCCAAACTACCTTCAATGTTCATATTACTACATGAAAAAATATATTACAGCCTTTACACATGCATTTGTATCCATTATTTGAAAGCCTTATTACTTATACTTGCATCACTACTACCTCCACCATATCTGGCAAGGCTTTTGTTACAATAACATCTATTAAAAGGAGCTTTCTCAATTATCCAGCTTTGGCGTGCATGCCGCTCAGAGGTATAGTAGAATGACAGCGTAGGTGGAGGCTGGTGTGTAGGTTGAAGCGGTGGAAAAGTTGGCTTCCCTCAGAGCATGCAGACATCAAACATTTAATTAAGAGCTCTGCCTTTGAACGTTTTTTTTTGCCCCAGAGCAAGTGTCTTATACAGACCGACAAATCTGAATTTCGGTGCCAAATTAAAACAAAATCCTCACTATCACAAAGGCAGCAGTGTGTTTGTCTCTGACGGTACTGCCGAGCACAGTGGAAAAGAGGGGAACAAAAGGAGAGAAACAAAGGGGCTAGTCAGAGATCGAACAATTGTGATGTTACACGCTGTACACAAAATATAGACCTACACAACGTAAGATAAAGAACATCCCAACAGATATAGAAGCCTCATTTACCTTGGGTACAATCGCACGCTCCTTTTAGGGCCTTCTCATCTTGAGTGTAATCTGTAAGAGATAAAGGTTTGTTAGCTCGTAATTTAGCACACAGTAATCGCATTAAAGGGGTTCCATGTAGCATTAATACAACATTAATAACTCACCACTACAAGGATTTACACACAGTGAGAATATTAGCATCTCTAACAGCCTCTACAATCCAGCACTATGCCCCAAGTCAGACAACTGCTAACTTCTACTTTATGGCACAAAGGGACATTGCTGTAAGGCACAAAACAGGAAGAGGATGTTCTCAAAATTTCAAATGGTTAAAAGCTAGAGAAAAAAAAATGTAGCATACATTTTCAAGCGATTACAATTAATTTGACACTGACAGACAGACGTTTTAAACCCCGTCCATCACCTGCGCTGACGACCGACATGCTTTGCATCTCCTTGAGGAGCTGCGGGATAGCAGGGTCATCACGGGAGTACAGAGTATAGCGGCTTATTCCCAGGTGGAACTTCACCCAGCTGGCGTCTGGGTCAAAGGTCACTTCGTGTTCAGTCACGGTGATGTTGGACGCAGCCGCTGCCTCGCTGTAGAGTTTCATGTGTCTGAGGAGTGAGAGGCCGAGCAAAGGTTAACTGTAGGTAGTAGCTGCGGCATGCGAAGGTTGCAAATGCCATGTTACATAAACAACAACAAGGAAGCGGACTGAAAGACCAGGGCTCTGGCTGCGGTCTTGCTCAACCTAGATTGCCAACTGCTTGGGAATCACTTCTAACAACGTTTTGTAAAGGCAGTATTTTATGTTGGAAACACCACAGATCTGGAGTGTACTTGGTGCCAAAAATCTGTGGCAAAGTGCATTCAACAGGTTTTCTTCGCAGCAGGTCTTACAAGAATGTGTTTAAAATGCAAGGGGATATGAGAAAGAACATGGGGATCCAGGTATTCTTTGAATTCATTATGCAGACTCTTTTATCATTTGTTGTATCTGCCAATCTCCCCCTGTAGCCCAGTTTTGTTGTTTTTTAAAGTAGTTGTAACAAGATTTTGAATTTCCACAACCTCCTCTGCTCTCTGCTACCCTTAAAGCCTGAGCAAGAATAATCTCAGACCAAAGCAAATAGGTCTGTGGTGAGAGGGGGCACCACTTCACCAGAGCTGACCGCACTGAGTGGGATGGTCATCTCCCAACCTAAACAGACTCCATCACAGACTGGATAAAGCGCAGAGATAATAGAGAGAAGGGCTATAAATACGAGTTTGTACGTCGGCCATCCCACCGAGCCATCAGTCACCCCAGCGAGCTGAAGTGACAGATCAGGGTAATCAGGACAACAGACGAGTGCAGACCACAGACCACAGAGTGTAGAGTCACACAAGAGATAGCAAAGAGGAAGTGGAGAATGTCTCTCTGGTAATTTCTTGCAACATTTGCCAGGAAGGACACACACACACACACACACACACACACACACACACACACATCCCCACAAATACAGGCTGACCTGGAAATTAAATTTAAGCATGCAAATAAACAAGGAGAACTCTTTGGTGCGTCTGTTGCATTGTTGAGATGCTGTTGCAAGATTTTGCAAGTCTTAAACAAGCCCTTTGTCTATCCATTGTTTTTGTTGTTGTTTTTTTTTACAAGGCAGCGATAGAGGAGAGAGGAGATCCATTGCTCATATTTCTTCTTATTTTCCACCGTAAGAGCCCAAACTCTGTATCTCTCAGAGGGAGTGCACTGTGTCGGGATAGACAGACAGACAGCCTCACAAGCCAAGACAGCTACGGCTTCCACAGATTAAGATGGGCTTTGGTAGCTTTAAATCCTTGTTTACATTAAAGAGAAGCGTGCCAGGAGCGAGCTCTCAGGATGACATGTTTGTGAGGGTTTTTCTGCCACCAGCCCACTCGACTTTCAGACTTTTATGACGCACAGAATTGTCTACACATCCTGACGTGTGTCTGTGGGTGTACATCTGTTATCATGAACAAATGCACAAGTGTGTTTGTGCGCGTGGACGTGTGTTTTGGCTGCGTCTGCTGCGGTTTCAGCCATAATGTCAGTGACCCTGCCCCTTGACCACAGTCGAGCCCTAACACGGGCTTTCAGCCAAAATGAACTTCTTTCACAATAACGTTGAGTAACACCAGCAAAAGTCACATTTGGTTACTTGTCAGCCATTGCAAAATCAACTGCGCCGTGGACAAAATAATCAAATGTGATCTTTAAAATCTGGAAAAATGACACCAGAAACTGACCTTTCCCAGCGTGACACCTTCCTCCTGTAATACTCCATCAGCTGCTCCGCATGCAGCAGCCTCTCCTCCGGCCCCAGCGGCGGAGTCTGGATGTTGTACAGAGGGTGAGCAAACAGCCTCCCTAGCTTCGAGCCCCCATCCGCGGGTTCGGACGTGGTGCCATCCAGGGGTGGCAGAGAAGTCCAGTTGGAGAGCCGGGGGGTGGCAAGACCCCCGTGCCTGGGAAGGGTGAGGTTGTTGGGACCACATGAGCAAAAGTGTCCCAGTCCTTGCCCCAAGCTCCTCAGCTTTGGTAGGAGGATAAAGTAGAGGTCAGCGGAGAAGATGGCTGTGAGGGTCGCGGCTAAGAAGAGACGGTCCCTCCTCATATTTGAAACAGAGAGAGGAAAATGATGAAGAAAGTCCTGACTATGTGCCGCTCCGGAGACTGCGAGGCATCACTTGTCGGCTGCTTCCAGTCTCTCACACAGTCAGCCAGGCAGAGGCGAGAGGTAAGCAGTCAGAGGTTGGTCCTAGTCTCTCTCTCTCTCTCTCTCTTTCTCTTCTCTATCTCTGTGTTTCAGTCTGTTCCTTCCAGCCTTACTTCTCCTCCTCCTCCTCCTCCTCCTCCTCCTCTTCCTCCTCCTCCTCCTCCTCCTCCTCCTCCTTCCTTGGCAGCAGCTGAAGAAAGAGCCGAGCTGAGAGCGAGCATGTGTTTGCAACAGTCACTGACAGTTTGGCTGCTTCCAGGGACCTGCTGCTCTGAGGACGAGAGCGCGAGAGAGTGTGTGTTTGAGAAAGAGATAGAGAGCGAGAGAGAGAGAGAGAGAGAGGGTGTGTGTGTACACTGTGGGTGTGTATGTGCAAGTAAGTACACAATTATCAACTGACTGTTTAGTAGATTGAGAGTGAGCGCAATGAGGGTGCAGAAAACACTCTCTTAAAGCAGAAGGTATAAGATTGGCAGGAAGACTGTGACTGTGTATGTGTAGATTTACAGGTGTGTGTGTGTGTGTGTGCGAGTGGTGTGTGACTTGCCTTGACATCCCTTTTTTCACAAGAAGGCGTGGAGACAAGATTCAATTCCCTCAGTCATCTTCTAGTCTCCTCCTTGTTCCACCTCATTAAGAAAAGTCCACTTTCACTCCTCCTTCATCTCACCAAACCTCCTCTCCTTCTCCCATCCCACGCTTCATGTCATCCCTGCTTCAAACTTTCGTCCTCTTTGCTCCTTTGTCACCTCGTTTTCTACCTCTGCTCTTTCCCTTTCCTTTCTCTCTTTCTCTGCTTTTTTCTCGCCACAGACCTCAAGTCTGTTTCGCTCCGGGCAAAAAATTCCCAGCTGCACTTTCCTTCCTGCTGCAGTTCCCACACATGAATCCCTCACTTTCTCCCTGTCACGCTGATCTATGGAGAGACGCACGTTCAGAGAAGGCAGTGCTGGAAAAAAATACAAGTTCTTGCACAACTTCAAATGAGGAAACACGCAGGGAAAAAATAACACCTCCCCTTGTTCACAGGCCACCTTTTTCTTTTCTCTCTTATTCCCGTGAAAACAGAGTATGAATTACGATCGCAGCTTGTTGCCCATTTCGGCTCTGAAAGCCCTAAGCAGCTTTATACTGAAGCAATGAAGATCTCAGAGGGCATTTCCCAGCCTGCATCTGCGCTGTTGTTACTGTGGTATTTTGGAACATCTGTCGTGTGTTTGGGTGTGTGTTTGTGTATATGTGTGTGGAAGTTAATGTCTGAGAGTTGTTGTCTCCAGGGTGTTTTATCCTCTCTGAAGAGAAAACAGGCTGAGAGAAGTCTTTGCTGATGTTGGAAATTAGTGAAAGGAAGCTTTAACCTGCCATTTAGCCAGATTGTAGCTGAGCCTCTGTTTTGCCTCCACACACACACACACACACACACACACACACACACACACACACACACACACACACACACACACACACACACACACACACACACAAACAGGCTAAGTGGGTGACTGCCTCCTGTAAGGTCTTTCTGAGGACCACAGCTACAAAAACAAAACAAGACGCTTTTGTTGTTGTTTTGACCCAAATGCATGCTGTAAAAAATATCTGCTCTTAGACAAGCGGGAGCCACATTTTTCACATCTGAATGAGCTTTCCATTTTAAGTATCTGTCACTTGTACATGGTCTCTTGAAAATGTATTTTCAAACAGATTTTTAAGGCGAAATATCCCACAACTAAAAAAAGGTCCCACCGTAGCCCCTCAGGGACAACAGACTGAGAAATGCATGAATATGTGATTTAGTTTTTATTCCACTGCACAAAAAAGGTAAATATGTGTGCCTTTGGTTGAAAATGGTATCACTTAATATCAAACCATCTGTGCTCATCAGTACACAGATAATATTTCTGACAACACAACACATTTGGTGGATCTCAGTAATGCTGTGTTGACTTACAGATGCCCGAGGGAGCAAAAGTGCAGAGTAGATGACTTGCCCTGTTTGTCCCAGCTGTGTCTGTTTGTATTTATCCCTGAGACACAAACTCGAGAAAGGGCTCTGCTCTCTCTTCCTCCCCCGCTAAAACATCCAGACCGGTGCTTAAAATAACCTGTTTTTTTTTAAGGATGAGCGGGCAACATCGAATATGGAACGAAAACAAGCAAAAAATGGGGGATTGAGTCTTGCGTCACCTATTTGTACAATTCAGCAGACCTGCGATGATAAGTACAGGGTGGGTTGCGTTGAGATGAATGGGTGAGATGGCTCAGATGTCTGTCTGACTGACGCTGAATGACCTAGAAGTCTCAAATATCAGGGCATTACACAATGCTGATAAAAGAACCTCAACAATCAGGGTAATATGAAGCTGCTCACAAATACAAGGGGAACATGCTGAAATTGATTTTAAAAGGTCCAGTGTATAACATTCAGGAGAATCTACAGGCGGAAATGGAATATGCATAACTATGTTTTTATTAGTGTATAATCAACTGAAAATCATCTTTTTGTTACCTTAGAATTACCCTTTTTTATTTACGGACGCCGTGGGTCACCTTCCATGGACTCCGTCATGTTAAACTGCGCATAGAATGGGGAGGGTGAAGCAAGGGAGTTGCAATCTGCTACTACACCACTAGATGACACTAAATCCTACACACTGGACCTTTAAAGCAGTAGTTCAGCATTTTGGGAAATACCCTTAGCATGGCATAAAGACTGTAAACAAAGGGGGAAACAGCTAGCCTGGCACTGTCCGAAGGTAACAAAAACTTCACGGTGACGACGAGACCCTCAGAAGTGTCTTGCCAATAAATACTTAAGTCTGGCACACAACCCCCCCATAAAACAACCAACTGTCATTTTTAGATTTTTTGTACGGATTAAACAAACAACATATAACATGTTACTAAGCTTTAGAGGTCGATTTTATTAGTGTTGGACAGCACCTGGGTAACTGCCTCCCAATGTTTCCCGTCTATGTGCTAATCACAGACATGAGAGTGGTATTTCATGGCCAGAAAGCAAATAACCACATTTCTCTCCAAATCTTTAAGTTTTGAGGGTTTTTTTTGCACAAATTCTTTCTTTTTGAACAGCTGCGTAATGTGCTGGACTATTTCTAGGGTGGGGGGGAGTAACTTCCATTAGTTGCCTGGCAACCTCGCAGTGACAACAAGACACCAGTAAGTGACTTCCTGCACAGCACAGCATAACCTACTGTAACCACAATGTGTCAGTTTTAAATTTCAGTATTTGTAAGGATTAAACAAACAAGATATAATGTTTTAATTGTGATTGAAGAGGTGCTGATAGGCAGATCTTGTTTTACCTTTGGATAGGTCCAGGCTAGCATTTTTCCTTCATTTCCCTCCTTTATGCTAAGCTAAGATAACCGGCTGCTGGCTGTGTCTCGAATTTTGTGTAAAAACAAGTATTATTCTTCTCATCTAACTCTGAGTGTATTTCCCAAAATGTCAAAACTATTCCTTTAAACAACAGATAAATAAGAGATGGAGCAATCAAGAAACGTGAGCAGAGTTTGGAATGAATGAAAAAGAATAAGATAGAAGAATAAAATAGTGCGCTGAAAGTACATTCAGTGCAGGAAAGTGAAAACAGAAAGAACAAAGTCATCCAGGAGAGTTAGTTCAGTGCAGTGTATATAACAGGCTGTTTTGAAGGGGAACTACTGCCAGCAATGGATGGATGGATATTTACACAGACAAATTCAATTTAAAGTTTCAATATGACTTCAAATATATCTGACTTTGTTTATATCTGACTAGACAGATAGGAAGCTCACTTTTTCTTCCAGATGTTGTGAGCTGAGCCTTTTGCTGCCAGTCAAACTCTGATACCGCACCCAGGGGATTGTGGGTAAATCCTCAGTGGAGGAGGCATCTCCTGGAAAAGGAATATGAGTATAAAAGAAGAAAATTACCAACAGGCATTTTAGCTTCAGGTTCAGAAAACAATTTTCATAAATATGGAGCAGAGTTTACAGAGCAGCATCATCAAGGCATTTCTGACATTCTTCCTTCAACTAACATCTAAAGCAGCGAGATGAATCGATGGAAAACTTTTTAACTTCCTTTCTGACCTCTCAGCGGTCACTCTACATGTCTTGGCAGCTACAGGAAAAGCCTCTTCTCTATCTAGGCCACAAATGCACAGTGTGGCACCACACCGCAGAATATAAAGGGATGAGGTCACAGTTGGGAGAAGGAGACGGAGTGAGTATGAAGAAGCTTAACAGAGGGAGAGATCGAGTTAAAGATTTAGAGCAGACAAAACAAGAAAAGAAGGAAAGACATGCATGCAAACACTTAAATGAAATCAGGTTTTTCCCATCAGATGTATCAAAAATAGAGCAGTATTCCTCTCTTCCTTCTTTTATCCCTCTTTCATTATCCCTTCCCATCAATCACGTTTTTTTGGACAACTTCAGGCAGACCATGGAGCGCTACAGCCACAGCGTTGGGACTAAAGGAAGTGGAACTGTGCCCTCACATTCCTCCAGAATTGATCGAGCCTTTTATAGTTGCGTGTGCTGACCACTACTTTTCTTCTGGCCATTACTGGATGTCCACAAACCTACACTACCACCGACGACAAACTACTGAGTATTTACATAATACATAGAAGATAAAATTGCACTGCCCAGAACTAGTTAGACCATAGCAGCAAGGCAAAATGACAGTTGTAAGTGGAAATCTGATTAAATTAAGTTTATTGATCGAATGGAAATTCGATTTAATTTCGTCATTGCAGTATAGAGCAGAGGGTTTTGAAACTTAAAGCCAGACTATGTAACCTTTGCTGGACAGCAGCCACTAAAATGAAAATGCTTTATTGTACAACAATAGCTGTCATTACAATACAGCAGACCCGTGATTACAGGGTGGGTTGTGTGGAGATAAATGGGTGAGATGGCTCTGTCTAGATGTCTGTACGGATGACCCAGAAGTCTTAAATATCACGAAATGTCAGGGTAATGTGAAGCTGCTGTTTTACTTGGCTCTGTCCGAAGGTAACAAATCCACTTATCAGCACCTCTGGTTTGCCTAGCAACATCACAGTGAAGATGAGACTGTGTCTTGCCAAGTTATGCTGTAGTCTGCCCTGTAACAGCCACAAATGGTCATTTTTACACTTTTTGTACAGACATAATGTGTTAATTACTGAACTTTAGATTGTCTAGTAGGTGGACTACTTTAGTTCTGGACAGAGCCTCGCTAGCTGTTTTCCAATGTTTTTAGTCTTTGTACTGAGCTGAGCGGCTGCACCTTCATATTTAGAACAGACATGAGAGTGGTATCAATCTACTCATCTTCAACTGCCGGTAAGGAAGCAAATCCGCGTATTTCCCAAAATGTCAAACTATTTCTCTACGTTTGATTAGTTTATCTGCAGTTTGCTATACTGCTATAAATCAACTGAACAGAACATGAAGCTAAGGATTCATCGAGCCAGCAGGAGGAGGAGAGAAAGGAAAGGATCCAGTAATCACTACAAAATGTGCCTGCAGGACCAGAGTCTGATGAGGCGAAAGCAGCCAATCAACAGTGATTGCTGTGGCGGATGTCATCAAACAGACGTCTCCTCTCGTGACACGAAGCTACCGTCTGGCAAAAGTCCTCTCACAGATACTGACACACACATAGATGCACAGACGATGATTGGATGGATGGATGTGTGTGCATGGAGGGAAGGAAAGAAGACAAGTGAGACGAGAATGACTGTGTGTGTATGAGTGGGTTAACCATCCACAGGGTTTACACTCATCAGCTGCTGATTGTGTTTACCATGGTCATTCTCTGTTGGGCTGGTGGGTGAAGCTAAAGTGGATGACAGGGGACAACACTAGTTAATGTGTGTGTACATAACTGTCTGCCTGGGTGTGGTTGCTGAGAAAGCACAGCTAATCGCTTATTTTGGCAAGTTCTGAGGAGCGGGGCAGACAGTGAAAGGAAAGTGTAGAAAATGTCTTGCAGATATACACACACACACAAACACACACTGACACACACATACACACACAAAAATTCTTTTTTGTAATCTGGCTTGCGTCTCTGGAGCAGAACATTGCCCAAATGTTCCCGAACTGAGCTCCAGACTTCAGGGGAGGAGAATGTGAAGAATGCTCTGGCTCTTCTCTTCATAACGTGGTGATATTGGCCATGATTTAATCAGAGTATCAGGTTTAATTAGCTTGGAAGGCCATCCTGACCTGTACGTATAACCCCTTTTCATGAGTATCTGCAGCAGCAGCTACACACACACACACCCATACACATGTCTAGAAGGACTCTGACAAAAGTGGTAATTACCGGGAGGGACATTCCCAGTGCAGATCCAAATGTGACTGGAGATGGCTTGGTTCAGGGAGAGGCCGTGTGGGTGTGTGTGGGTGTGTGTGTGTGTGTGTGAGTGTGAGTGTAGCACCTTAAAACACCTGTTTACACTGAATGGTTACCTTCAGAACAGCATTTTTCCTGTGAAGTTTGACCCCCAGGTACTTGACTTTTGACCTTGCTGAGTCCCATTTCGTCGCTTTCATTCCCCTCCTCCTTGTCTTCTGTCAGATTCTTCCGTGTCTTCCTGCGAATATGAGGAAAGACATATCGCTCTTTGCTGAAGGGAATTCTTGTGCAAACACAAAGCTGTTTACTTTAGATTAGACAGGTTTCCCAATTTTGTTCATGTCACTGAACTAGACAGGACTTAGACTGTTGATCTCTGCTGGGTGATATTTTGTCAGAGAGTCCAATATCTGTGTGAGTGTTTTGTTGTTAAATTTGATTTAAACCAGAAGTGTAGCTGTTCTCCATTTCTGTGGTGTAGTTGGCCTGCACTTGAGTACTCCATGTGCTCCTTCTGTGTGTGTGTGTGTGTGTGTGTGCGTGTGTGCGTGTGTGTGCGTGTGCAGGATTTCAGGACTGCTCTATTTAGTAAATTAAAAGGGACTGATTATAATTTCAACATATGCAAGATCTCAACTTCATGAATGTACAAGTTAATAGGAGCCAACAGAGCAATTTTACACTGATTAGCTGTTTAAAAGAGATCTAAATGGTTTGAGACATTTGTGGTAAAATAACAACAGCTTTTATGTTGAAATTTGGGATGTTTACACATGTTTATGCATGATTAAGACATGCAATAGTGTACAGTGTTTACTGCCTGGCTAAAAACCGGGCAATGCAAACAAGACCAAGAGCTTACAGCCATGCTAATGGGCCTGTGAGGCTGTACTTAGGCACAGTGCTTTGAGCTGAATGCTGCACTAACATGCTAACATGCTCATAATGACAACACTAACATGCTGATGTTAAGCAGGTATAATGTTCACCATGCTCAGTATCTTAGTTTAGTGTGTTAGCTTTACATTAGCTAATTAACACCAAACACAGTGCAGCTGAGGTTGATGGGAATGTTATTAGTTTAGCAGGTTTAGTCATAAACCGAAATATTCAACAAATGGAAATTCTGACCTGATGATTGGCTAGATATAAAGTTAAGGGACCAACAAAGTCTGTACCAAATTTCATGGCCATCCAGCCAACAGTTGTGGAGATATTTCATTCTGGACCGGTCAGGTCAGCCAGCTGACATTGCTATCTGTAGAGCCACACCGCTAGCACGGCTCTGAATTATACAACACTTGTATATGTGTGAGAGCCACAGCAGAAACATTAAAATGTTGTCTAGCACTCTTTGGGGAGTTAACCAATCAGAAGCCACAGAGGCAGTGACACACACATATGCACTAAATCACTATAACCAATCATTTAAGTTTCAATACAATCCTCCATGCAGTACGTCTTAATTAAGAGACCACAAGCCGCCATCTGCAGCATGTCTTGACAAGAGTTAAACTGCAATGTTAAATATATGGCTACATATACCTGTATGCAGACGTGTATTTATGTATCTAAGCATGTGCTGGCTCTTTCACTTTACTTCATCCTCTTAAATTAGGAGTGTTCTTTCCTTTTACCCATGTGACAGAAATACAGTCAAGCGCACAGCAAGGGGCCTGGGCCAAGCCAGAGTTTATGACCTTTAACCAAACTGAAGTTCCTATTAAAGACTCAAACGTCTGTGGAAACAACGAGGGAAGTTTCTTTTGGAGGAAGCTCTCACCCATGACGTACAGAACATTCTCTATATTAGATCTGGCAATAGAACATTCAGGCCTCACTGTTGACATCGTTAATATTTGTTTGGACACGTCCCGTAGACTCTACTATGTGTTGGCACAACAATGATGTAATCACAAAAAGGCTGTTTACACACGTCATCTTCAAAATTTGGCGTGTATAATCCAATATGCTTTACAGGCAGCATGTGTGCAGGCATTTTTAGCATTTATGGCCTCCAGTGCACCAACAATGGGAGAGTGAGCACACTACAGAGTGACACAGAGTTGATTTGTTAACCCTTAGTGGGTTTGGCAGATTTATTGATTTTGGTATTTTTTATATTTTAATACACTGCCTTCTCAACTCCCACTAAACTCTATGACTGTTCTTCATTTTCCCTACTGTTTGCCCATATTCTCTAGTGCAACAGAGACGAGCTCACCTCTGGTACGTAGCTGGCTCAGTGATATTCCACATCACTTCCTGCCCAAAAGAACCCACATGATCTCCGTCCACAGTCCATAGTCCAGCAGATCCGTCAGCTGAGGCTGTGAGGACGAACAATCTGTCAGCCACTTCGAGGACTTCCACGCTCACTAACGCTCTCTCATGAGCCTTCCAACACTGCAGCAGAGGAGGCCGCTCACAAACGGGCTGTGTAGAAAGAGAACACCTCAGGTATATATGGGTATATACAGTATTTATTCACACCAGCTCTCGATATACATATAAGTATATATGTCTTCTCACCTCGTGTTGGATGTCCAGTGCAAAGTGACAGATGTCCCAGATCTGAAGCCAGCCTGTTGTGTCTCCAGAGACCAGGATGGTGTTTTTAGGCTGGTCTGAGCTCAGGCTCAACACACGCTCACCTGGCTGCTCTGGAGCATAGAATTGGCCTGGAATAAGGAGGAAAGAACTGAACTGCACCCATGCAGTTTTCAAAACAAAAAGAGATGGATTTTCATTTTTGTCTTCTATGGGTCTACAGGAACTGTTTCACTCACTAAGTTGTATGCAATCAAATCTATTTACAGTCACATTCTGCGCCAATTTCAATGCAGTCTTGACTTAAATGACAAATGTACTTCTGAGACAAATTGCTACCCTTTAATGCTTTCTGTTATGTCACACATCTCCCTATTATGTCACACTCAAATTCCTCTTTGCTAGAAAAATGCATATACAGACCTATAGTGTATATATACACACACACACACACACACACACAAAAGTGCACTCTGGCTTTCTCATACACATATGCAGTGGGCATGGTGCATGAATCCCACACCACTAAACACAGATGGGATCTGGAAAGAGACATAGTTTTGGGCTACCAGGAATGGTACAGGCGGGAGGCCAAGTCGACAGTTCAGCCTAACTGTCACTGCTCTGGCTGTTTGTAAATCCATCTTACAGGAGGATCATTAAAACTGACGGCTGCTTGTCAACTGTTTGTACAGTTTGTTGCTTCCAATTCCCTCATACTGTGAGTTCTATTTTAAATTCATGTCTTTTAACTTCTGCATGCAGTTCTTCTGAATAAGCCTCCATCCTTCCTCTCTCTGTCCCACTCACCATAAATGTGGGTCTGTCCGGTGATGCTCCAAAAGCAGAGACAGCCGACCTGCGATGACACTAGGACACCTCTGTTTCTCAGCTTTCTGATGCTAGCTCGGTGCTGCAGAAACAAGAGGCTGTCCACAGGGGGCACCACTCTGCACACAAGCAGAATTAGAAAAGTAAATAGGGAAATAACAATAAATACCACACACTAAGGATGCAGTATTATTATATATTGCATTATTATATCGCTAATACTGTTGAATGTGTCAGTGGCATTTCACTGTATCTGGTCGAGGAGGAGGTATTTTTTACACAGTTAGGTAGTTTCTGGAGAGTCTCCAGAGAAATCTGGAGGGTTGTGAGATGATAAAAAGAAAGAAGGTAATAAAGAAAAAATATGTTCTGCTATTCATTGTTTGGCATTTTCTCTGATCTTTGCTCTTTTATGGGGAATACTTATTTATATATTATACTAATTATTTACTTCTTGGAAGTGACAGAGGGCTGCAAATATACACTGCTTTTTTTGGTAAGGAGCCCAAAAAGATTAGAAACTACTAATTTACACTTTAACAACGCATGTATTTCCTAAGCGTATTAAATGTTTTTTACTGCTGTAAAAAGTACAATTTCTGAATATACATTTTTTATATTTAATGTCAAAACATGTGAGTAAGATACGTCAAGTGTCCTCCCATCTGTTCAGTGGGTTTTATGATTTGTGAGAAATGAAATGAAGAGACAATCTTTGTTATACTAAATAAGTTTATATTGCGCAGTATCATAACAGCAGTGCCTAACCTGGCTAGCTTCCTCACCCTCTCTGTGTCGGCCCGTGCAGGTGGAGCACTGGTCCCTGTGTCTCCAGCCTCCAGATGATGACCTCTCCATCATGGCTCGCTGTGGCAACAACCCCCAGGGCAGAGCACTGACACACAGCCAGGATGTCTGATTTGTGGACACTGCTGGACTTCCACGACATGTCTGCTCTCACATACAAATCCTATGGGTACAGTATGTACAGAGATGTAAATATTAAACCACATCAAAGCTTTTTATTCTGGTATTGTAAAAACATTTGTATTCAGTATTCAGATTGAAAAACACCAGTTTTAGTAATTTTGTGCTATCATGTTGTCTTCAGTTGTGCATGAGCTTGTAGGTTGAAATTGTAAAAAACTCTCTGCACATCACTTCCCACTGTGTGACAGTTAACAAATAGTCTGAAATAACATGTAATTATTTGTGTTGCCTTGTGGAAAACAGCTCTATTTCCTTCTCTGGTTTACTGATTGTGTTTACACCTCTGGGCTACAGTGTTGTGGTCAGCTCTTTAAAATGCTGGAACCTCAGCATGGTGGACGTCAGAGGAATACTGGTGCAGATGTCTTGCCTGGCACAGACTGTCTTTGATCTCACCAGGTGCAGTGTGTAAATGTGATTTACGTCAGTCGCTGATATCATTTACTCCTGAAAAACAGTTTTTTTTGCTTCAAAATATTTTCTCAAAAGCCTGGCTCTGCTGACACAGGGGGCTTTACAATTAGAATCATTACGAGTGGGGAAAAACAGGATAGAGAATTTGCTGGAGAAGCATGAATACTGAATGTTACTACTGTAGTCTTCAGGGGATGAATCTGACCACAGAGCAGATGGTAGTTAAAGGTTGAGAGGTAAAATGTAACACAAGAATTTGAGGTGTGAAAATATGCACGTCTGCACACCCAGACTTTGGTCTCACATTGCAGTTCATAGTGGTGTTTATACTGGCACTGGCTATACTTCATCTTTATTTCTTGAGAGCTGAGTGTCAGTGTGTATACATGTGTAGGTGGATGTGTTGGAGCTTTTTTATGCTCTGTAACAGTCTAGACATCTTTTACTAGCAATAAAAAGACATAAGAGGTCTGATTTAAAGATGTCACAGATTTAACTGCATATTTATTGGATTTCATTAAATAAGTTTTATGCCACTAATGCAGGAAATATCTTCTGAGGTGAAAATCCTTCTTAAGCTCAAACTGTTGTCATAATTCTTAAGAAAAATGCAGTGTTTTAAGTCTGCACCAGATTAGTCACTATGGTGAAAGCTGTTTGTGTGGGGACTCATCATCCAGCATTCAACATCTGGGGAAGAACTTGTGGACGAGCCAAAGCGAGAAGGCTAAGACTTCTTGAAGTGTTCATCTTGACATATTTCAGCTTTTTGGTCATTAGTTAATGTGTGTACTGCACTTCCCAGAATCACCTGTCAATCAAAAGCATTTATAATGTATTTTTAAGTGGGCGGCGCTTCTGTCTGCTCCATCAAGTAATGATATGTGTTGATGCTCACACTAACAACATATTTATTCCTCTATTCTATTCTTCTATTATTATTACATTATATTTATAATTACATTTTGTTTGTGGTGTCTTCTATGTCCGTATCACACTGAATGTTCTCCACACTACTTTTAAAAGTCATACGTAAGGTACCCTGGGATGTTTTTGACCGCTAGTAGCACTATGGAGCGATTTTTTTTTAAGAGTGGGTCCCCATGATACACTGTCCTCCTGATGGTTTCATGCTATTCCGATGAGAGACAGAGGCAGAGTGGCTTAATACCCCCCGAGCATCTTGTTTTTGTGGACCTCCAGAGGTTTAATTTCTCACTTTGTTGCAGTGATCCAAACACACCAGATGTGAAAAAGTCTTCACAGTAAAACATGTCTTTTCAGCCTGGTGTGACATTGCTCTCTGTGAAACGGCTGTGGATTATCAATTAAAAGCACCTTTAATTTTACCTTGGCAGCTGCAATGTCGTACTGAGCGATCCGCTGGCTCCAACCCACGGCCAGCAGCTGGTTGTCATGGAGACAGGTCAACCCGGTGACTTCAGAGTTGGTGACAGGCTCCAGCTTGTGCAAGTTTAGGCCGTTAAGTAAGTTCCACACCTGCTCGGGGGGAGGTCTTCTCATTAACAAACTCTTTTTAACTCTCTCATACATAGGATAAAAAATGTGTTCATGAATTGCATTAAATTTCACAGTATTCTTGTACAAATTGAACCTTTATAGTGCCATTGCGAGCCCCAGTGATCAGTCTTCTGTGGGAGGAGTCTAGGGCCATGCAGGTGAGTTCTTCTTCTCCATGTGCATTCAAGATCTGAAGCCGCCTCCTCCCTGACTCTATGTCCCACAGAGACACAGATGAGTCTGCGTGTCCAGTCACCACCTGTCTCAGAGCAGAGTTGTACAGAGCGCAGGAAAGGGCAGGACCACTTCCAATATTTGGTTCAGGTTCCCTCCCTTCATCCGTCAGCAATCCGCCCCCTCCTCTTCTTGTTTCAGCCAGACTGAGCAGCGCCAGGTAATCTTTGCATCCCACCACTAGGTGAGACGGCTCAGAAAGAGGAGGGCTCACCAACAGGAGGGGGAAGTTGCCGTGTTCTGGGATTCGACCCGGCTGCTGGCAGGGGAACTGCAGGCAGACGGTTTTCAGACAGTGATGGCTGGAAATGTCCCAAACCCTCAGCTCCTGACCCAGGAAAAAACATCACTTTATTAATTAAAAAATTAACAAGCTCTGTTCCCAAATCCCAAATATTATAAAAATGTATATGATTAACAATAAGAAATGTCAATTTAGTTTAATTTATCCACTTAATGACTCACAGCATCTCTGGAGTAGCTGAAAATTTGCCCAACAGGTTGATAGATTGCAACATCCAACACAGTGGTGAGATGACCCAGCAGTGTAGCCACAGGACGTGTGGTCACAAATCGAGTCCACAGTCGGACTACTCGGTCACAACCTCCTGTGACCATCAGCTGCAGAGATGCATTATAGTCAAAACATTTAGCTCCCTGAAATGAGAAAAAACAAAACAAGGTATAAAATATACAGAATATGTTGCTTTGTGTAGAGAGATATGTACATGAACTGGTGTTTAATACCGGAAGCATCCCCACTTCTAATAATACCATTATTCAATTTAGCTGGTTGCATTAGTTTGGGAATTTTTAACTGTGGCTCTATTGTTAAAATGTCCAGACAGTTAATTGGAGTATAAAATGAGTGTGCTCATTCAAAAAAAGGCATTGTGAATAACAGGAAGTGTCACCACCTACTTTAATAAGGTTTTTATGCAACAGCATTACTTCGTTTCTCCACAGTCAGTGGAACTGTCTGCCTCTGCATACTGGGTGGGAATCGACTTTAGAAAGAGTAACTTGACTCACATCTCACATTTGCTCTTCCAGATAAAACTGACAAGGGATAATTCACTGAGTGACTTATGCAATATGACATTTGCCATATAAGGGCATTAATCTTTCTTTTTTACAAGTAACAGATTTTAATGGAGTGAAGGTTGATGTTCAAACCTTGACCCACCCAGTTAGGTCAGTGTCACCCAGACCAGATTACTGTGACCCACACATGTCCATCTGACCTCAAAAGTGGATAGCAACAGACATCATTACACTCACTTCTTGCTCTTTTACCTTTCCCTATCTCATACCACTGTTTATAGAGAAACAGAAGTCTAGAAATGTACTTCTGATATATAAAAACATATAAATGAGATTAATAACAATAATATGCAGAGGTAGGATCTTGAGTTATACAGTCTAACCCAAAAAATAAGGTATCACACACAATTATATTTACTAATGAGAACACATAACACATAATAACCTACTATTCAATGTCAGAACTACACTGTTAAATCAGTTACCTGCTTAAATTTCCAAACATAAGGCTCCTGCTTCAGTGTCACATTAATGAAGACCACAGAGGTGGCGTCACTTTCTGATGACGTCATGATGACGTTGGTGCCGGGGTCAAACATCACTCTGTTGATTGGTTCCTGGTGGATGTTGGGGATGTGACGGTAGGAGACCATGTTTCTGTGTTCACCCAGGTCCTGTTGTCACGATGGATAACAATAAATGCTTAAGTGTTGTTTGTAAAATGTAACTGTAATCAGCAAGAGCTGTAAGACATTTCTAAGAAGAACCAGATATTGAGCTCAGTAAAAAGACAAGGCCAGGCTTACTGGGAAAAAGATCCTCTGTGGCCCGTTCTCTTTCTTGGACAGATTCTTGAACAGACCTTTAGACGGGTTCAGGAACCACATGAGGTGGACTCCTCCTTTTTCATCCCCCAGTAGCAGCAGAGAGGGCTGCTCTGGACACTTGGAGGGAAAAACCAAAGAGATTAAAATGATGGATGTATTGCTTTCAGGCTTGTCCAGTTGAAAAGAAGAACTCAAAGAAGAAGTGACTCTACCTGAACGTCATGCCAGTAACAAAGTGCAGTCGGGACACTACGAAACCCTTGAGGCAAAGACAAGACGAAGAGTTAACATTTAAAACAGTAACTCATTTTTATTAGTGACTAGCTCAGTTTAGTACAATTTAGTACAATCAAGTATACCAAACAGATGGACATCTTCAAATACACTGGCTGTGTAGACATTGACAAAGTGCAAGTCCCTGCAGTCCGTTGCTATGGCGACCTTGTGGACATTGCCCATATAGACAGCATCAGTGGTCCAGCCTCTGAATCTCCTCGTGTTGGCCACTTCCTCTGTTGGGTCTCCGGCAAGCTGGATTAAAGAGGATTAAATATAAAAAGTGTGTGTGTGTGTGTGTGTGTGTGTGTGTGTGTGTGTGTGTGTGTGTGTGTGTGTGTGTGTGTGTGAGTGTGTGAGTGTGTGAGTGAGTGAGTGAGTGAGTGAGTGAGAGAGTGAGTGAGTGTCGTACTTCTACGTGGATGTAAAAACAGTGATGTCACTCACCCCTAGACTTTTGAGGATGTGTAGGCTGCTGTTCCAGACAGCGATCTGACCCCCTTTACTGACACTAATATAGCGGAGTGGAGGAGGATGGGAAACAGCAACCACACGCACTGTAGGTTCCCGCTGCAGAGGAATCAGAAAGGTTACTGGAGTAATAAAATATAATATGCAGAAAGAGAGTATAGAAAGAGTGTAGAAAAGAAAATTGACACAACAAGTTCAGAAAAATGTAATAATACAGTTAGTAAACTTGAATATGCTGAATATGTGTTATATATATACTGTGATGAGCCATACAGCTACAATAAAAAAATATAAGCAGACTGCAGTTTCCTTTCCAAAACCCAAACCACCACCAGCCTCCATTGAATGTTCACTTGAATTAATAAACAAAACAATTATCATCATGGATGGGATTGACCAAGACTGTAAGCCATAAAATAGAATAAAAGAAAATAGGAATGAGCTAAAAGCTCCTTCAAAGCGATGTAGAGCTGTGGTGATAATACATTAAAATTAGCCTAGTCATTTAATTAAACTTGGGTTGGTTGGGGGTTAGGTAGGTTTAGTGTGGTTAGTTTAATGCTTTATTGCATTTATTTGTCAGGGACCTAGTACGAGAAAACATCAGAAACATTAATTTCATACAAACAGAAGAAGCTTTGTGATTTAGCTTGCTACTTTCCATCTGCAGTCCCTCCGCAGATAGTGAGTGCAATCTGTCTGTACTCAAAATATGTTAGACTCTATACATGTCTTTCAAGAAAACATTACCTATATTTTTGGTGCCCCCGTCTGGCCTTTCAGTATAATTGTTTAAACCTCAGAGTAACCTACAAAGATGCACTACTCTTTCTCATTTGACCAGATTAGACTTGTGGATTTGTACCTTGTTTTGAGAGCAGTGTTTGATCTGCGGTTGGGAGTCCAGCAGAGCTGCTCTGGGGATGGAGGCTCTCTCTCTCTCTGTGTACTCCAGAAGCAGGTAGGAACACAGCTGCTGCCACTTCACCTGCCCCGTGCAACTGATATCTACCTGAGTATGAAACGGTTAAAAGATAAAGCCGTACTAAAACAAATTTAATGGCACAGTGAGTTTATGCTGATGGAATGTATAATGTAATTTATGTGCTTTCCATTTTTTTTTTTTTTTTTTTTTACATCTCTTTATGTCTTCTTACCTCACTGAAGAATCTCTCAACCCATATGTCCTCAATATCTGGACCAATCACAGACCTCAGAACCTCCCGAAACTCCTCAAACTTTATTCCACGCTCTTTATTTCCTCCTCTGTTCCTTCCACTTCTTCTATCCGACCTGTTTTTGTGCATCTGTATTTCAGCTTTTGGACAGGTAAATGCATTTCTCAGGAGTTGCAGGTGCTCGGGGCTCAGTTTCTCTGCAGGACTGACTCCACAGGCTGGATCACTGCAGAGGGAAGCGCACAGCAATGATCATTTAAAGAAAAAACCTTAATTTGTGCAGAAATGTGACAATTTTACAAGTGAACACCATTTAAACACAAGGTAGAGAAGATCTCTACTGGTAAGACTGCCAGGAGGAGCCGACTTTTTAGAATTTGGTGCTACTACTGAAAGGTTTTGTGAGTTACTCTTATAGGAATCATATGATTATGATTACAATACCCACTATTCTTCAGAGTTTCTCTTAAGTTGGGAGCTACTCTTAGTTTTATGACCAGCTCTTCGGGTGGACTGTGTGTGTGCAGGTGCAACTGGATAAAAACATGTAGAACATAAGCATTAAAGATAAAATAAAGACACTGTGCCTGGGTAGGACTGAAGCCAAAGATAGTATCACTTATTTTAGCTTTTGTTATTGAGTTCTGACTGTTTACTAATGTTATCTAGCCACTGACATCTGGTAAGAAAGCAGAATGAATGTAGCGCTCCCAAGTGGCAGATCTCAGAAAACACACTGCTGATAAAAAGGAAATGTTTCAAATTACATTATGAAGTCTTATATGATTCATACTAATCTGAAACGTACAATGATTTTTAAGAATATATTTGAATGGTGGGTCTTGGTTAATTGTTGTGGATGGGGAATAAGTGATAAGTTTTAGGTTTAAGGGGACGTGTTTAAAAGATCAAAGTGTTCCAGCAGCATCTCCTGTGTGGCCCTGTTGCTCAGGGAGACTACAAGCTGCAACAATAAGTCACATGTCTCAGCATTGTGAGCTCTTTTTTCAGGTCCAATAGGACATGCATGAGTGGTCCTTTACATCATTTCTCACAATCAAACAACGCTAATGGAACCATAAAATAATTAAGTAATAAAAGTCCATTAGTTGGTTGAAAAGGGAGTGTAAAAGGCTGTTTTATCTGAAAGAGTAGCTGAAGCTGTGTGGGAAGGATGGTAGTAATCATTGTCAGTGCCAGAGTTGAAAAAATATGTGAATCTGTACCAGAAGGAAGCAAACGTACAACTTCACAGAAGACTTGATGGACGGATTAGGATTACCTAACTCCTTCACTCTCACAATGGTGAACTTCATACTTTGTGCATGAATTAATTTATTTAGGAATTATGCAATCTACTACTTTCTACTATACAGAAATTGTATGATGAATAGCATGGAGAAATAGTATGAGGTACAACTTACATGTCAGATGCAAAACTGATAAACAGCTCATACACAGTTAATTAACAGTGATGATCAGTTCTATTTATTGAGATCAGATAAATAAAAAGAAGAAAACTCACCAAAATCTGCTGTGTGGCACTTCCATCTCATACAGCACCCATGGATTTTTGTGGTTTCTTAATGTATCCATATCGATAACCTTAATAAACTTCTCTTCAAAGACTTCCAAACTCCAGATCCTGCTCCATCTTTTCTAGATTTTGTCCAGATAGTTCAGTGTTTTTTAGATCCATATCCCGATGACCAACAAAGATGCAGCAACCACAAATTCCCCTCTAAAACTGCCGAGGCCAATCTGATGTCTTCACTGTGCTCTGAGTCACAGGCAGGGGCTTTGTTTCCATCCTTTCCTCTGTCTTTTCAGGCAAACCTGATTGGCTCAAACAAGCCTCTCCAGACAGGGAAGGAATGCCCAGGTCCATAGATTAATAAGCCATCCGTCACAAGTGTTTGACCACTCCGAGAGGGGGAGAGTCAACACGTCACTGGTTCGAAGACCATGGAGAGATGAGAGTTTCTAAAATAGCTGCAAGTCCGCCGAGGGTAACAAGGCCAGAAGCCCCACAGACCAGCCCTCGGTGGATGAATCATTTAAAGAGGCAAAGTTAGTCAGGACCCAGGAGAGTTAAGATTGGTGACTTTCACACAAAACACTTCAGCTGTAACATAATAAGGGCGACGCAGAAGTCCTATTAATGTAATTTATACAGTAGTATATGTCCTGTACAAATATATTCTAAGCCACTAAGAGAAGAAACTATTTTTTCTTTTTTATTCTTATGACTTACAGTCCTCTAACTAATGCAGATTAATTATTGCCAGGCAACTCACTGCACTTGTCCTACCTCTTCAATGAGCATGAGCTGTCCAGAGTGTGCTCCCACTTAATGTTTAACGAAGGTACCCAGGTCCCAGTGGAGCCTGGTCTGCTGGGTAATTCCTAGCACCTGGTCTAATATTAGACCTACTATACACGAGAACTGGCTCAACTATCTGCAAAAAATCATATGATATATTTTAGCCATAGTTTTTCTTGTTATAGGAAGAAAAGCACAGGTGGAACATTGTCTGCTACAACAGGTCAACATTTCTGCTGCAAAAAGGCTTACTCTGCTGCAGAAGCTGTCAGTACACAATACTGTGTAATACTCCACAAATTGTTCAAAACAACAGTTAAATCATTCAAGGATACAAGGTATTTTATTGTCAAATTACACACAGGGTTGTATAATGAATTTGTAGTTCCCTTTATGGTACTCATAAAACAGTAAATTTGACCAATAAGTCATAAAAAAAACATCAAGTTGTACAACCATAGGCACAATAATGTCTTGCCCCAACTAATATGTTAATTCTCTCATATTATTACGTTATTTCAGTCAAAGAGGCTTCTTGTTCTTGTGCCATGTAATCCTTTTTGTTGCAACAACAGCAGCAGAGCTGCTGGCTTGAAGTGGACCAACAGCGGTGGAAGAAGTATGCAAATATTTAATTTAAACTAAACTGTACAAATTCTCAGTAATGAATAAAAGTGCTGCATTCAAAGTTTTATTTAAAGTACCAAAAGTAAAATTAAATGAAAAGTAAAATTATGCAGAATGACGCATTTTGAATAATGTATAGTATATCATGTGATTACAATTATTACAATTATTGCATTAAGGTGTTCATTGCTTTTATGTGTATACATAACTGCAATGCTGCAGCTGGTAAAGGTGGAGCTAGTTTCATTTACTATATATATACTGGGTAGCTTGTGAATTTACCCCCTGGGATCAATAAATTATTTACTAATTTATATTTAGTGTCATGAAACTGAAATGTAGTAGATTAAAAAGTACAATATTTGCATCTGAAATGTAAAGAAGTAAAACTATAAAGTAGCATAAAAAGTGGAAATACTCCTAAAGTACAGTAAGTAGTTTTTTATTTATTTAAGTCCAGTACTTGAGCACTAGATGGAGCCACAGCAGCGCTGTCTGATAAAGGTTCAAGCATGCACAGTTAAAGTGTAAACTAAAGAGTGGTTCATAGACATCTGACGACATTTACCCTCACTAAACAAAATCAGCGGCAGTGTATTTTTTACTGAACTTTATGCATAAAGCTATTATTACCATTCATTCTTGCGAACTCCTCTCTTCTCCAATCTCCAGCACTGAGTTCAGAACTTCTCCACCCAACCTCTCACACGATGGCGGCAGCAGCTCCAGAATAATTATACTCCCGTGACCCGCCCTAATCCCCCCTCTCTCTGTATATACTTCCTCAGCCCTGCCCTGTGTGCTTTAGTGATGGGGCAGTGAGGATGCCAAAGCGCGACAGTCCTGTGTAGATTTTTTTATTTTTCATTCATTTTGTCTTTTTTTCAACCTGTGTGTTGCCATGTTGCGGGTTGTAGTAGAGTCGGCTAAAGGTCTGCCTAAAAAGAAACTTGGAAATCCTGATCCAGTTGCCTCTGTCATTTTTAAAGGTAGGTGTCATTTTAGTCTTACAAAGTTTTGAGTTTAGATTTACAGGGAAATTACTTAAAAATAATGTAAAGTGCGTCTTTTGAACTTAATGGTAAGTTTGTCACTTAACTGATTATAATTTTATATAGTATGACGTCACTTTATGGAGGTAACCCATGCAATAAATAAACTATACAGCAGAGCTTTTTCCTTCTTCTTTATACTTTTCTTTTAGGCTACTTGTGCATTACCTGTAATCCCAATAGTCCATTTAGAATTTAAAAACTTTGAGCGTCTGTGTTGTTGTTGAATACAGTTCAGAAACTTAGTCAGCAGAAGTTGTATTGCACCATTAAAGACTTTCCCAACAAGTCACAGCATTTCCAATCTGCAAAGACAGCTGGGTAGGGACCGTGCTAGGACCTGTAGGATAAAGTGTATACATGTGAGCTTAGACAGACAAAGAACAAGGCTGTAATGAATGGAAAAGATAAGTTAGAACTTATGGGGAAATCAGCCTTCAGCTACTGAATGAAATGATACGAGACACAGTTCTGTATCAGTCACATAATTGTATTTCCTCCTGAAATGGTAATGATCCTGGCAATCAGCCCTAGTTGCTCTCAGCTGATTTCTTTGTACAGGTGTCAACATCATCACCCACAGGTGTGGCACTTCTGTATTTTTTCCTTCCTCCATGTAAAGGCAGCAACTGACAACATCACTTTTGACCTAAAATATACAGAACTGTGCCAGTTTAGATTAAAAACTCTAAAACTCTGCAGTGGGTAAAATGATTTTAGGTGAATTCTTGACTTGGTTGACCAGTGTGTGCCCCTAATCTTTTAAAAGTCATGTACCATTCAGTATTTTCATTGTTAGGAATGTGAACGTCAAATGGCAAAGATGAACTGCAAATGCCTTAAATAAATATTCACAATATTTTCACTTTTAGAGGAGAAGAAGAAAACAAAATCGATTGACAGTGAGGTGAATCCTGTATGGAATGAGGTAAATCCATCACACAAACACACACTCACACACATCAAACATGCAGATATCTCTTTAAACAAGGATCATTTGGATCAGCTACTGAGGAAAGCAGGAATAATTGATTTACTGTGACAAACATCATATGACTGCCTCAGTATGTATTGACCATGTCAATAGATTATGTGACTCTAAGATAAAACTTTGCTTCTTCGGGACTTAAGTACCATATGTGTGTCCCTCATCTTGTCTTGCAGGTGCTTGAGTTCGATCTGAAAGGCACTCCGCTGGACTCTAGCTCCTACATAGATGTGGTTGTGAAAGACTATGAAACTATTGGGAAAGATAAGTAAGTGCAACGCAGGCCCCTGAAACTGAGCTCCCCTGTTAGCTTTGGCTTTACGCTTTGTGCAACAGATGGATCACAGTGATGAAAGAGAAGCTGTGTGCCTCACCTCTCTGAATCACAGTGCAAACTTCTTGTCTGAGCGAAAATTTTCTAGGAAATGAGTCTGTTGTCTGTTTAATTAGACAACAGGTTAGCCAACAGCAGCTGAGGTGTGTGCACGTCTCTCTTTCGGTTGTATGGATGTCAGTAGTTGTCGGTTATTCAGATACAACATGAGCTGGCCAGTGTGTCAGTCTGTATCATTAGGCCAGTCTTAAATCTGAATCAAAATAGTTATTTGTACATGCCAAAGGCCACAACCCCTTAGTTAACATGCATATTATTATTAGCAACACTGACACAGTAACGCTCAAGGAAAGTAAGTTAGGTATTTTCATTGTAACCCAGTGTAAGTTATGTAGTTGGCTGCCTCTGCCCCCTCACACCCTGCTTGCCATGCTGAGACTTGCTGTGGCTGTGTGGGATGTCTGCTCTGGATTGGGCAACAATGGATGGATGAATCGCTGTTTGTTTTCTCTCTCTCTGGGATTTGTGTGGAACTCAGTCACTGAGGACAGGCACAAATCTTAAAGGAAAATACGTTATGTGTCAAGACTGTAGTAGCGTAACTTCACTACGTGCTGTATGAACTGCTTTTAATAGTGTGTGAGGAAAGTTGCTGTCATGCAAAATGTTTCTTAGTTGCTCGAAAACAGCTCAAGGTTGCTACTTCCACTTAAAGCCAGAATCACATGTGGAACCAATCTAGACCAACCACAGAGAATGTTTTTTCTGCATCACTAATTACTGCTATCAAAGTCTTGTCTACAGTAAGAAAACAAAGCACATGAAAGTGTATCTGTCTCCATGATTTATGTCAAACACACCATATATTGTATGTTGTTTCCCTGTTCATATGTTTCACCTAGTAAAAGTTCCCCCAGTGCACAGTCATAACCGGGGGAGGAGCTTTACAAATGTGGGTTTCCAGCACATGAGTCCTTGTTAAATTGAGTAAAGTTTTCCACTGGGCTGGCCCGTCTGACACACTCCCTAAAGATTGACAAAGTGGGAGCAGAAAAGATCTTCTCTCCTTCGCTCAAATAGTTTCCCAGCTGATGTTATGGGTAATCCCTGTCGTCGTGGCAACTACAGAGGGAACCCAAAAAAAGCAATCAATGTCTTCTTAACTAATTAGATTTTAGGAAGGAATCAGGGGGTTGTGGGACAATGTTCCCTTGTGTAAATAGCAGCACAGTCCTGATCACAACATTTGAGAATCAAATTCTGCCTATAGGGAGTTTCATGAGTTTAATCACAGACGAGATGTCTCATTTCCTTATGACTGTTTCAGTATTTTAGATGGGTCAAAACAAGACTACAGCCTTAAGTCTACAGCCCTGCTAGCAGCTCTGAGGATGTACTACTAAGCTTTGAGCTAAATGCTAATCAGCATGCTAACAGTGACAGTGCTGACATGCTGAGGTTTACTGGATAATGCTAGCATGCTACCATTTATGAAAGTCAGGGGATAAAAGGAGTTAATCGTTAAACTGTAATCTCCTGTTTTGCATTTTTTTTGCATGCCTGCACGTTTTTATCCAACTAATGTTCACATTAAAAGTAAGATTAATTTCATAGAGGAATACAGTGTGAAGTACAACAGGGCTGCAGAACTTTTTAGAAGTCATTGTATGGTTGGAAGTTTGACAACATGAACATGATAATGAAATGGCCACTTAAATATGATCATTAAATATTAACTTGTTCAGCACAAACAATAATATTCGGGATGGTCAAATGTGGGTAAAACCCAGAGATATGGCTATAAAAAAGCTTTCACATAAGAACCTCAGTATTGTTTCATTTCCTGTCTTATAAAACAAAGACACAGACGTCAGTGGGTCTTCACAAATATTTCACCTACTTTCAGCAACCTTGTTTATGAAATATTTCAGCCTTGCAGTGCTGAAAACTGTTAGATAGATATGATGCAACAGCAATAATTGGGGATCTGTGATTTCACAGCCTGGTAACAGATCTGAGATGAGCTGTATCATCACACTCATCCATCCTCATCATCCCAAAGATCTGTGAGAGGAAAATAATTACGACAGGCCAAGGGAGTTAACTTTTTTGAGCTGAAATGCCTGAAAAGCCAAGGACACTCTTGCTCTTGTGAAGCTGCGCGTGTTGAAAGTCACTCTCTTCCCTTCACGGATAGGTGATCACAGTTACTCGGCTTAGATAAATGAGAACTTTTCTCATAACAGGACATGTGGAAAGGCCAAAGAGTTGTTTGTGCATGACTACAAGTCAGGTGGCAAGGAGCACTGCTGTCTTTTGTTCCACTGACTATAGGAGGCTTTAACATCCTGACAAAAGGAACAACTGTATCTACATCCATTAATAACTGCACACTGTCACCTTGTCCATGGTTAGTTGTAATTGTTTAGACATACGGGGAAATGATCAGCTGAAGTGGGTTGTTCCCCTGTGACTCACCAGGACTTGGCAATGGTCACACAGTCTGTTTTGGTGATTCCATTGTGTGTTTACATGGAAAACAATCAGTCAAAGCATGTCCTCAATATTCTGTTCACAATATATACAGTATAGGGCTGTAATGATTGCACCATACATTTGGACCATGTTCAGGCTAGTGTCCCTGTGAGTCAGGTTTTGATAGCATGCGATCATATCTACTGTATAACTTTAATCTCTTTCATATTTGAATGCTCTTGTCCAAAAGCAGTCAAATGATAAACCCAGGAGTTGGCAGAATTGGGCAAAACTCCATCGTCAGACAGTCCCATGTCAGTCACATCCTACCTGAAGCCACTCCTTTTGAAGTCCAAATCCTATTAACGTTATTGCTGAGAGGCCACTGGAAATCCACACATAAGCATCGTTGGTCTCCCGGTCAGATTTGAGGCTACATACCAGGTTTACAGAGTCACTGACTCCCTGGAGAACCCCTGTGTCAGCCTCCTTCCTGATGTAGAGCACTGAGTGCAGCCAAAACAATAACCCTCCATCCTTTCTCCTCCCAACAAAACTCTGTCCAACTATATGTGTAATTGTGTAGTTCGTCTGGGTAACTGTGTATATAGTACGTTCAATTATTCATGTGTCTTAGTTTGCTGTATTGATCAATGAAATGTTATGTTTTAAGAAATGCTTTCCTGATAGAAGTCAGGTTCAAATTTCACAGTGGTTGTCTTTGTCTCATTACATTTTCCATCTCCAAGTAAACATTTGTTGGGGGAAAAAATACATAATTTTTAATGCTTGGGTCCAATTGAAAGCTTTAAGTTCTGGTCAGTCTCGGATGAAACTGATTTATGAGCCTGCAGTGGTGTAATTTTAATCTAGGGTCCTCTGTGAGTCAGTGAGCGATTTTGTCTTGCTAAAATTCCTCCTGTCAGAAACGCTGCCAAAAAATGACTCAGTCCACCCAAAGAATAATGTATGATGCACTGCACTCCATTTGTTACATGGTGTTACTTTGGACACAATACAGTGAACATTATTCTATGCAGTTTTAGGTACACTTAGCTAAAACTAATGCAGTCTACTACAGTCCTGCAGTACAATCTTCATGAAGGTTATAGTGATCAGTTTTTGTTGATTTTAAGGTGTTGATTCAACTGTATGATGATTTTAGGGGCTGCGTTTTGTGGTGCTGTTAAACTGTATTGAAGGTGTTTGTTATTTAGCAAACCTTCATTGATATCAGTGCGGTGGAAAAAAAATAATAAAAACACCTGCCAGTATAACACAGCCTTCACGATTTTGGATTTATTGCACGACTGCTTGTTTATTAGTGTGTGTGTGTGTGTGTGTGTGTGTGTGTGTGTGTGTGTGTGTGTGTGTGTGTGTGTGTGTGTGTGTGTGTGAGAGTGAGATGTCCAGATGCGTAATGGTTCGGCGGCAACATTTGAGACTTACTCTGAGAGTTAATGGTGTGTCGTTGCTCTAATATTTATTGTAAGCGCCTGAGCATAAACACGCCGCACATTAAGTTGTGTAGTTTCTGGCTGCACACAAAAACAGGCACAAAGATAAACCCCAAGTAATAACAAACAGCTTCGGAGGAAGTCTTTAACTAACACTGCACGGAAAGACTGCTGAAGATATGACTGTGCTTGTATAACAAAATAGTCCAGTATTCATGGTAGTCAGCTCTCACATAGACGGATACTTGATGTTTCTTCTTCCATTTACCGTTGTCCTTGAAATGTCTAAAGAGTTGACAGAGGCACATTTCAAGGCTGAAGCCATGCAGCTCTCATATCAAGTTCATCTTTATCTGTGTTACTCACAGCCTGCTCTTGGGAGCTATTAGCTAGATTCATTTGCTTTTATCATTAAAATGTTAATGATTACTTCATTTTCAGGAAATGTACTTAACATTCCCTAAGGAAAATGTTGTGTGACTCATTCACAGAGACAAAGAACTGCTATAGTGTACTCGGTGTATGATACAGAGGGTAGGGATGTTTTTGTTACCAGGAAGTTCCTGTGGTTTGAGAAGCCAATTAATGAATATCAAATTTTAATTCCAGTTAGATTTTTTTACCAGGTGACAGTATCGCATGAAGTTATCCGTATTGTTATTACAGTAGGTGGTCTAGTTTAACACCTCCATAAATATCCCTGGTTCTGTTGTTGAATGGTTGTTCAAGTGGAAAGAAATGGACAAATTGGTTAATTTCGGTTCTGTCTTCAGAAAGTCACAGATGATCTAAACACATCCTGAATCACTGGTTGGTCGCTTCTGTGCGGCGTGACTGTATGCTGGCTCAAGGGGTGCGTTTGTTTGTCTGAGCAGGCAGGGTTTGTTAGCTCTGGGTGGTGACCTGCTATATTCCCCTTTTGTGTATGTGACTATCACTGAGCACACATACAGCATTTCGTTTCTGTATGGTCTGTAACCAGATCATTGATATGTTGGCTGGGTAGAATGGCAGCGGGAGTTTTGCCTTACCAAATCAGTGCAGAATTGTCACCAAGCAGATTCTCTATAGACACATGTTGTATAGCAATAAAGTTACAGTATCTGAAAGTGGATACAAATTGATTTCTGTCTGTAATGTTTCCAGATTCCTTGGGTCAACCAAAATCTCTTTGAGAGACCTCGCCTCTGGTCAAGTGAGATCACTACCATCCAGAAATGTTTCTTTAGTCAATGAAAATGGACAGAGTATTGGAGTAAGTTTTTTTTTTTCTTTAAGGATCAAACAATTGAAGCAACAGGAAGACTTCCTTTTTAAAGGAAATAAATAAAAATAATATACCAACCAACCATTTCCTTCCAGGCTACAATCAACCTTGTGGTTGGCTATGATCCTCCAGCCAATGCTCCACCAAACCCCAATGACCCTCAAGCAGGAGACACCACAGTGGATGCTGGTATGTTCATGTAATTCCCAATGATGCAGTGAATATATTTGATTGATTAGAGTCACGTCAGGTATTTGATGTGTGATCATCTTGTTTTTCTGCTGATTAGGTGGTGGTGGAGGTGGTGGGGATGAGGGTAATGAGACTCTACCAGACGGCGGCCAAAGTGGTTCTGCAGGAACTCCCTCGTCCCCTGGTCAGACTACGAACCTCCGCCAGCAGGTGGCCAGGGCACAAAATCGCCACCGACTAGTCAATAAACCTCAGGACTTCCAGGTCAGTGTTTGTCACAGATTTAAAGCATCTTTTAAATGATTTTGATGCCATACATTTTTGTTTGTAGAAAAATGAGACAATCCTAGTGTGGGAAAAATGGTGCAGTCTGAGTTGCTTTCAGCCTCTCCCTCTTACTGTTTGTGGGGTTTATTGCTGTCTGCACAGTTATTCCTGTATTCTTACAATAGATGCTTGTGGTTGAGGATAAGACTACCACAACCAAGCATGATTCTCATTACAAAATAACTGATTGTTTTTCCATAGGCTACTTTGATTCTTTGTAATTCTTTGGCATGTTTAAAATGGTCTGGACGTCTGAAAAGCCTGCAACAAGAATCAAGTTTTATGACTCTTTTGGCATGAATGACAGGAAAATACAATATTCTGCAAGGATAAATACATTTTCCATCTTAAGATATTTATGTTAAATGTCAATTTTAGGTTAGTTGGCCACAACAGTTATTCCCCAGGTTATCTATCTGTAAGTCTACAATATATATATAAATGAACTGAGGTGATCTTGGTCAGAATTGGATGCTCTCATAATATCATGAATTACAGACATTCATCCACACTGATACTGTGTTTCTTTCAGATTCGCGTCCGGATCATTCAGGCCCGTCAGCTGTCAGGCAACAACATCAAACCAGTGGTGAAGGTTAATGTGTGCGGAGAGACCCACAGAACAAGGATCAAAAGGGGAAACAACCCCTTCTTTGATGAGGTACTCTCACGTAACTCATACACAGAAAAACGGTAGATGACAGTGATTTGAAATGGAAATAAAACGTGTTCATTTTGATTGTACCGGTCTCTATTCTTCAAGGATTAGGGCTCAGCCATCCAAAACTGCAAGGCTGTATTTTGTCCATATTCATTAAAAACATCGTCATTGTTTTTCCCACAGATTTTCTTCTACAACGTCCACATGCTACCGTCGGATCTGTTCGATAAGCACATCAGCTTTCGGGTCAGTTACACGTATGTCGACACAGATTGTCCTATCCTCTGTCAATATGTATAAATGTATAAACTGTGGATTGTTGCACTCTCCTCTGCAGGTGTATAATTCCTATTCACTGAGGGCTGACAGTCTCATGGGAGAATTCAAGGTACCTGGTCTTATCTAGTATTCACGTAATTGTTAATAAAGAATGTGTTTCATGCCTTTTTTTAATACGAGTCTGGCTGATCTCGCTTTGTTCTCTCACGCAGCTGGACGTTGGTTATGTTTTTGATGAACCAGGTAAGCTTGTCACAAACCACAGATTTGTATGTTATTTACATTCACTCACAGGATGCTGTTGTTTGGCTGGTGGACGTCATAGTTAGGGGCCAGCTTATGAACATAGTGCAGCATTTAATTTAGGCTAGCAGCTGCAAAATAGATATTTTCCTCAAAAGTTGGTAAAAAGAGAGCGTGACTAATAAACTTCCATTTGCCAGGTTGCCAGAAACTCTGCCACAACTGTCGTTGTGCTTTTACCTGTACATTCTTCTCTGTCTGTATTAATGAACTTGGTGTGACCTTTATGTGTGTGTCCTATTGCAGCCCACTGTGTTATGAGAAAGTGGCTCCTGTTGAACGACCCAGATGACTCCAGCTCTGGGGCCAAAGGTTACCTCAAAGTCAGCCTCTTTGTAGTCGGGGCTGGAGATGAGCCTCCGGTAGGACTGACACCCAGCTCACTCACGTTGCTTCCTCTTCCACATGTAAATATATGCCCCTGGCTTTCTCCTCACGGACTCTCTCCTGTTCTTTCTATCTCGCGAACTGTAGGCGGAGAAGAGAGAGTTGAATGACGACCATGATGACATAGAGAGTAATCTGCTGCTGCCAGCTGGTGTGACTCTGCGATGGGCCACGCTGTCTCTGAAGGTGTTCAGAGCTGAGGACATTCCCCAAAGTAAGACAAGCTGTAGTAATGATTATTTCTCATTTAAACTATATAGCACATAACGAATACTGTTGACCAACAAGCATTTCCCATTTTTATGTGTATGTATATGTTACCAAATAAAATATTAAATTGATTAATTAATTCTTCCAATATGTCCTTGTTTCAGTGGATGATGCATTCATCCAAACCATGAAAGACATTTTTGGAGGAGATGGAAGCAAGAAGAACCTGGTGGATCCCTTCTTAGAGGCTCGCTTTGCCGGCAAAAAGGTTCCTGATCATATGTCTCGCTTTAGCTGCAGTGTTAAATGTAAATATACTGGATATAACATTGCTGTGTAACAGAAGAAATGCTGATGCGTGGTTTTTCCGTCTCTGCAGCTGTGTACTCGGATCATTGAGAAGAATGCGAACCCAGAGTGGAACCAACAACTGAACCTTCAAGTAAAGGTAAGAGGTCCTAAGGATGGAAAGCTGTAATCTGATCTGAAAGTAAGAAAGTAATAGACATGAATGAATTTCAGTCTCACTTTGTTTAACCGTTTTTTTGGTGTTTTCTGTAGTTCCCCTCGATGTGTGAGCGTGTCAAACTGACTGTCTTTGATTGGTAAGTCATATTTGAGAGATTTTAGCCTGTGTCATTTTGTCCTCTTGTTAAACACAAATGTCCTTAGGTATTTTGAGTTGAGAAGGTGTACAACAATACTTCCGCAGTATGGTCAGCTGTGCGCTCTCTCTCTCTCTGTGTGTGTGTGTGTGTGTGTGTGTGTGTTTCCATCACCAACCACATGAGAATAATGTATCAGCCTATGACTCAGGCTGTGCAGTTCCCCTCCCTTCCCCTCAATAACAGGCTTTGGGATCCTGTTGGCACTGCCTCTTACTTAATTTTCATTATTGTGTGTTTCTGAGTGAACAAACAGTCCAATAATTCAAGTCCAGGAAGGTTGAAAGGAAATAAGTGCAAGAGGAAAGGTTAGAAAAACTCAGAAGGTGTTGAAAACACTCAGATCTGAGAGCCAGTAGATGCATTTGGGATTTTTATTTCTATTTCACATATTTCCTTCATAGAGGTCGAGAAAAAGCAGAGCATAGTAGTACACTATGAAATTAGCTTGTTTTTTTAACAGTTAATCACAAAGTTCAGTGCTATGTGTGTATCCAGTGTGAGTCTAAAGGTGTGTGTTATTGCAGGGATCGTTTGACAGGAAATGATGCGATTGGCACCACATACCTGAACCTGGCCAAGATAGCCTCCTCTGGTGGAGAGATAGAAGGTATTATTTTGGGATTATAAAAATGTAATTAGGATCTGTTGTGAAAACCTCAGTACAGTTCATAACCTTTACATTTAAGATATTTATTGTTTTATTACTATGTGAGACAAATGCATTTAGCAAACCACTGTTACTCTTTTATACTGTTTTGTATTAACTTCTAAATGGTACTTGAATTGTCCTTTTTCTCCTGGAATAGAGGAACATGCGAGAAATGGGGACATGCCATCATTTGAAGGTTCAACCGTGTTCTTTGTCGCATTAAGCATGTTGTGCACGCTAACTTCTAGCTCAATAAGTCTCCTTCTGTGTGCACATTGCTAATAAAGCTGCGTTGTGCTGTTTTGACGTTTTTTTAAGTGTTTAACCGTTTTTGTTGTCGTAGTACCTGCCACTTGCTTACCCAGCATTCACTGTGTCTGTCCATCACCACCGCCTCAAATACAGCAACACTGACATACTAACATTAAAGCTTTGCCTAGCTTAACTCGAGTCTCATCGTAAAGGAGTTAAGTCGGTTTCCGTCTCTCTACAGCCAACACAGGGCAGTCTGAAGTAGGTTTCCTGCCTGTCTTTGGGCCCTGCTATGTCAACCTGTACGGCAGCCCCAGAGAGTTCTCCGGCCTGCCAGACCCCTACGAGGATCTCAATTATGGCAAGGTAGTGGTGAAGACTATTCAGAATGTCGTCAGTCACCTGCAGTTTTCATGTTTCTCTTCACATCTAGCCACGTCCTACATCCCCTTTAATGGTTTCTCAACATTTCATATCCATGTCTCTGCAGGGGGAAGGAGTGGCGTACAGGGGCAGGGTTCTGGTCGAGCTGTCCACTAAGCTTGAGGGGAAAGCAGACAAAACGATAGACAGCATCCACAGCGATGACATCCTGGTGGTGCAGGTAGTGTGACCTTTTTATCCGCTGAGTGATACCTTAACTAGTGTGGTCCCGTTTGACGGCAGTGTGGTTCCACAAGATTTGGGAAGTGGTCTGATGAGAGTTTTTCAGTTCAGTTTTCCCACAAAGACCTTCTTTATAATCCTGTACATGGAGGGATACTGAATTTTAGTGGGTTAAAGCATTTTATACTTCCCTGACCCTTTCCATTTTCTTTTCTTCCATGCATTAGAAGTACCAGAGGAGGAGGAAGTACTGTCTGTGTGCAGTCTTCCACAGCGCCTCCATGATACAGGAACCAGGAGAGCCAATCCAGTTTGAGGTCAGTATCGGTAACTATGGCAACAAATTGGACACCACCTGCAAACCACTGGCCTCTACCACGCAGTATAGCTGTGCTGTATTTGATGGTGAGTGAGGAAGCTGCTATCTGATCTATTCACCCATGAAAGACGCATTTAAAACTTTCATTTAAAATACGCTTTCTTATCAAGAGGACTCTTAATTTGTGTGTAATCTTTCTAGGTAACCACTACTATTACCTGCCCTGGGCGGACACTAAGCCTGTGGTTGTGGTTATATCCTTCTGGGAGGACATCAGCCACCGCATGGACACTGTCAACATCATCCTCTACATTACTCACCGTCTGGTAATACTGCATTATCCTCTGTAATCCTCAAAAAGTTAGATTGATTGCTTTAGTTATAATCAGAGTTTATAATTTATTGCATGTAGGTTTGGAGAGCATACTGTGTTGGACTAATGTCTGGTACGTGCGTGTGCATATGAGTCATAGAAGTTTAAGATAGGGGTGTAATCCTCACCTCTATTTTGTTGTTGTTGCAGCAATCCAACCTGGAGGCATTTAAAACTGCCATCTTGGCCAAAGTCCCTGACGTTCAACTAGAAGAGGTGTGGCTGAAGTTGCTCAATCAGCTGATTGAAGACCTAGAAAGGTAAATAACTAATCCTTGCTGAAAAATATAGTAAGGTCATTTCTGTTGTTTGTGCATCTTTTTAATGGAATAAAAAGTCAGATGAACCAGTAGTAAACCCATCGTGGATTTCCTCCACAAGCTTCTCAACACCTGAGCTGGAGGGCCGCTCCAATCTGACATCTCTGGACATCCAAATCAAGAAGCTGCGAGACAGTGCTTTGTCCACCATCAAAGGACGGAGCCAGACGCATGAGAGAGGAGGCCAGAGAGATCCGTGACACTCTGTCTGACATCGAGTCCTGGGCGGAGAAACTTAAGGCGCTGGCTGAGGAGGTACAAAGCAAGACAAAGTTCTCGATTTGTCAGTGAAGATTATTTGGAGGTGAAAGGAGAGCTATCTCTTCACTGACATGCCTCTGAAATAGCCGTTCCCCAGTGCATAGATTATTCACACTCTCTCAGGCAAAACCCATGTCACATTTCCAAAATTTGGGGAAATGATGCAACAACATTTCAAAACAAGGCAGGACCTTGATCCTGATCAATCGACAATATGCTTACTATTGTCTCATGGATGTCTGTCCATACTTGTGTGTCTGTTAATGTGTTTTTACCGTCAATTTGTCCAGCCCCAGAACAGCATGCCCGACGTGATCATCTGGATGCTGCGGGGTGAGAAGAGGGTGGCCTACAGTCGCATCCCTGCTCACCAAATCCTCTACTCCACATACAGCGAGCAGGCCTGTGGACAACACTGTGGCAAGACACAGACTGTCTTTTTACAGGTAAAAGAAATAAAGGAAAGGTTAGAAAAATTAGATTTTGTCTCAACAGCTTTAGTGTCAGCGAGGTAGCAGTTGTTGGAAGGTACTGCACTGGATTTAATCTCTCTGAAATAATGCTCATTATGCTGATTATGTTTTTTCTTCCCCTCAGTACCCAATGGACAAGAATAAGGGCCTGAAGGTGCCGGTTCAGATTAGAGTCAACATGTGGCTTGGTCTGTCTGCACAAGAGAAGAAGTTCAACTCCTTTTCTGAGGGAACCTTCAGCGTCTTTGCTGAGCTGGTATATCACCAAAATATATAGCATATCTCTCACAATATACAATAAATAAATACTTCATATTCACAAAGTATTACTGTAAAATGTGTTTAACATTTAGGATCAATTGACAGAATATAATATTCATAGGTATGTTTTCATTAGTGTATAATCACAATCAAAATGAGAATCATTGTGTTTTTGTTACCTTAGAATGAGACGTTTTTTATCTACTGAGGGAGTGGGTCCTCCTTTACGGACTCCGCCATGTTGAACCGAAATGTTTCAACAGTAGCCCAGAAAGGACAAATCAAACACCGGCTCTAGATTTCTAGAGTTTCGCATCCATTATAGTTTTTCATACACACTTGGAAGGCTGAGCTCTATTCAAATACTTGCAATCAACAAGTTCACCACTAAATCTTACAAACTGGTCCTTTTTAAAGATTGTTCTGAAGATTATTCAGAGTCAGCAGTCAAGCCAGCAGCCTAAAACTAAACAGGTCCTCCTTTTGCATCACAGTACGAGAACCAGGCCCAGATGTTTGGGAAGTGGGGGACCACAGGACTGGTGGGACGTCACAAATTCTCAGACGTAACAGGAAAACTGAAGCTGAAACAAGAGTACTTCATGCCCCCAAGAGGCTGGGAGTGGGAAGCTGACTGGTTCATTGACCCAGAGAAAGCGTGAGTGTAATTGTAGATGACCATGCAAAACAGGGAAGATCTTGTGATTTGTTATATTAGGTTTCAGACCATGTACTGTACATCCATGGCAAAGGTTGGGGGAAGGGAAGGTGCACTGCTGATTATATTGTTGAATGTGTGTTTTCCCCACTGAATACGCACATTCTGTGGACTGCAGAAGAAGTGGGCTATGTCTGCTCTCTACTGTTTACATTCCTCTCATGCCTTCAGACCATGATTTAATGACCATGTACCAGACTGTGCCACTGAGCTGGAAGTTATTTGCACTTACCTTTTTAATCTGTGTTACTCAGATACAACCACTCTCTGCCCTTCAAAATTCCTGACAACAACTTTACAGGCATAATGGGTTAGGGTTAGGCACTAACTGTCAGTCTGCTATGGACAGACAGATGACAAAATAGAAGAAAAATGAGAATGAAGAGGAGAAACATACCAAATGCTGATTCATTCATACAGGGCAACATTTAAATGTTGTTTTTGTTGGTTGTTGGTTTCATTAGTGACTCCTGTATATCATTAAAAAAAACCATTAAAATATGTGATAAACATTTTGCTTGAGTATATGTGGTTACTCCCAACATGTAAACACAGTCACTGCTCAAACAAGCAAACCATTTCCTCTCTCTCACGCTGCACTCACGTCATTTTTAGAAAAGTTGCAAGCATGCCTTTTCTTTGTTTATTCCACCGGAGGGTGCCAAACTGCACACATAGTGGCTCGAAGTAGCCTTTGTAAAAATATGTTTTTCATATTTCGCACTCAGATGGTAAATGTGCTCGACTTTGTGTTTCAGTCTGTTAACGGAGGCAGACGCTGGACACACCGAATTCATGGACGAGGTGTTCCAAAATGAGACTCGCTTCCCTGGTGGAGAGTGGAAGGCTGCCTCCGAGCCCTTCACAGATGTGGTGAGAACGGCACACTGACATGCAAATAGTGTGCCTGGTGGCTTTAAATATCACACAAACAAATGTTTGTTAAGTTAATATTTTCCTTGTTTCTGTGGAACAACACAAAAACAAACACATGAATTCCTGCCAGACCCACACTCCACACGTTCGTAGCAGTTGTTCTCCATTATTTTGTCCACACTTTCCTCCAGATGCCTATGATGGATGAGTTAGCTATAACCTTTTCTAATATATGAGTAGGCCAAAACACATTACATCAACAAATAAAAAAAACTTGTGCAGATAACTGAGGTTTTGTGTTGCACAGAATGGAGAGAAGAGCCGTAACCCTGGAGAGTTTGATTGTCCTCCAGGGTGGGTGTGGGAGGACGAGTGGACTGTGGATGACAACAGAGCTGTGGATGATCAAGGTGCAGACATTTACTTCACCAGCTAAAATCTAGAGGGGATTTTTCAAGCTGTTTGTAGTTGTATTCAAAAAGGCTGGACCTAAATTATTAAATTTGTTACATGTTTTCCATTTACAGTTCTTGATTTATTTCCCAGGGCTCTGACTCACTCTTGCTTCCCTGCTAGGTCTTAATATAATAATGATATTAATAATAATCAACTAAACTTGCATGGTGAAATTTAAATTGTATGTTTTATCCAATCCTCTGATGAAACAATGGAAAATTGCTTATGATCATGTGTCTGTGTCTGGGCACTCTACAGGCTGGGAGTATGGAGTCACCATTCCCCCAGGTGACAAGCCTCTGTCCTGGGTCCCCGCGGAGAAGGTGTACCACGTGCACCGCAGGAGAAGGCTGGTTCGACCTCGCAAGAGAGCTGCAGTCCCTGCAGGAGCAGCTGCGGAGGTCAGCATAGGACAAGAGGGCTCTACTACTGTACTGCATGTACACTGTTTTAATATAGGAAGCGAAATACAATTCTGATTATGTTACAAAGATCAAAAGAGACTGATATCCAGGTGTAGATCGCCAGTTTCAAAGTGTATAATCTTGCATCACTAATGACTGTATGTCTTTTTGCTGACAGAGGCGGGACCGAGGTGACCCTGAGGGCTGGGAATTCTCATCCCTGATTGGCTGGAAGTTCCACAGAAAGGAGCGTTCATCAGACACGTTCCGTCGAAGGCGCTGGAGGCGGAAGATGGCACCAGAGGACCGGCTTGGAGCGGCTGCTATCTTCCAGCTGGAGGGGGCGCTGGTGAGTAAAGAAAGGAAAACAAATGCTTTATTCTGATTTGAACCGCTTGTTTGGGTCAGGATCTGGTTTCATGAAGATAGTTTAACTGTGGCATAAAATTGTATCTGTCCACATATTAAGTAGGAGAGGAAGGGCAAGGAATAAAAGCATGAACCGGATCTGAGCTCAATGAGTCACCGAATACTTTCAAATATTTACTTATGTATTAAACACATCTACAGTGCCATGGTGTGTTTTTATTTGGCAGTGAGTGTGACGAACAAACTGGTAAATTAGCTCTGAGATGTCTGCTTTGGTTTACTCTGAAGGGTGTTGATACTGAGGAGAAAGAGAAAGGCTCCAAGGTCGATGCCACCAAGCTGTTTGGTGCCAACACGCCCACTGTGTCCTGCTCCTTTGACAGTGAGTGATGTGTACATAGTGACACATATAAATGATCAATAATAAAAACAACCCAATGAACATAAATATACGCTACTAAATAATGTCTTTTTCCTCCACAGGGTCACATATGTACCATCTTCGTGTTTACGTGTATCAGGCACGAAACTTAGCATCTATGGACAAAGATAGTTTTTCTGGTAAGATTCTACTTGCTTACTCCAATTTAATAAAATGATTATATTCTAATATCAGTATTAAGACTGCGGATGGGTTTCAAGTGTTTCATTTCAAATTATATGAGTCTGAAATGAATGAGCTGTGGAAAGGCGACCATTTAACCCCCTATTTTCTTCCCTTCACAGATCCGTATGCACACATCTCCTTCCTGCACGTTAGTAAGACAACAGAGAAGCTGCGAGCAACGTTGAACCCAACCTGGGACCAAACTCTGATTTTCAATGACGTGGAGATTTATGGAGACCCCCAGAACATTGCTCACCGACCCCCTGATGTTGTACTGGAGTTCTATGACAATGACCAAGTGGTAGGTTGAGAGAGAACGCATTTGTACAACTGATATATGTGGTTGCAGGACATAATAATAATAATAATAATAATCTTATAATACAGCTAACTGTGGATTATTTTAGATAATTGGTATAGGGACAGACGAAGTGAATTACAGAGTAAAAATCTCTCAAGCAGAAAATGTCTTGGAACAAAAATTTGACTTGACTTTGTCTTTCTTTACGTTGTTTTCTTCTTCATTCACCTAAAGTAGAAACGGTAATGTTTAAAAACACCTGGAAACACCTGAGCCAAATTTTTTTTTATTTCTAATTTTTTGTACACATAATCTAGGAATTAAAACTTGTTATGCTATTGCGTTTAATTTACCTTGAACTGACATGTTAATATAACTGAAACGTTATCTTCTGCTCAGGGGAAGGATGAGCTGCTGGGCCGTAGTGTCTGTGCTCCAATGGTGAAGTTGAACCCAGGCATGGATCAGAAACCCAAACTGCTGTGGCACCCCATCATCCAGAAAGGTCACAAAGCGGGGGAGGCGCTGGTGGCCGCTGAACTCATCCTTAAAGACAAGGTTTGTCCTGAAATGAATAGACAATAGATTTACTTTAAACTAAAAACAACTGTTCTCTATAGGTGTTCTCTAACATTATACTTTAATACAGTAGTGCCTTCTACAACTTCTGACATATATACATAGTGAGTTGTATATTTAAATAATGTTCTTTCATGTCTTATGATATATTACATGTTCCCCCCCTGCATTATAAGGCATTACCTAGATATACACACTCATTCGGTTGGTCCTCCAGTGTGATTAATTATAAAATTACCTGTAAAAACATAAAGGTAAGCATTATATACAGTCTACTGTGTCTGTGTCTTTCTCTGTGCAGTCAGGAGAGTCAGATCTTCCCCTGGTTCCCTCAAAGAGAGCAGAGAACATCTACATGGTTCCCCAGGGCATCAGGCCTGTGGTACAGCTCACTGCTGTGGAGGTAAAACACAACCTTTAGACACTGTTCCTCTGAATTGACACACATAATGTCTCTAAATCCCTCGTGTGTGTGTGTGTGTGTCCCCGTGTGTGTGTGTCCATGGGTGTGTGTGTCCAGATTCTGGCATGGGGCCTGAGGAACATGAAGCCGTACCAGCTGGCCTCAGTGTCTTCACCCAGCCTGGTGGTGGAGTGTGGGGGGAATAGGATCGAGTCAGCCGTCATTAAGAACATGAAAAAGAGCCCAAACTTCCCCAGCTCTGTGCTCTTCATCAAAGTGGTAATGATAGGGTTACACAAAATAAGGGGTCTGGGATGGAGAATCTTTTAAAGAAGTTTAAAGCTATTGAACAGGGGAAATAATATTATGTATTAGTATTATGAAAAATATGTAAATCATCTGCATTAGAAACAATTACAGCTCAAAATACCTTCTTTTTATTTAAGTCTTATAGCTTTTACACTATACAGATACAATATCTTCTTCTCTACACCTTCCATCCAGCTCCTTCCAAAGGATGAGATGTACACACCTCCCATTGTACTGAAGGTGATCGACCACCGTCCGTTTGGCAGGAAGCCTGTGGTGGGTCAGTGCACCATCACCAGTCTGGAAGAGTTCAGATGTGATCCATATGTCATCACTGCTGAGGGAGCCATGTCTTCCAAAAGTAAGAATATTCTGATACAACTAACAGAAAGACAAAAAGGCCTTGTTCTAATGTTGTCCTTTTTTTCCAGTGTCTCTGATGATGGCTTCACCTTCCAAACATCTCTCCATTAACATGGAAGAATCAAGACCACTGCTCGAGGCTCAGGTAAACTCCCCCATTATTCCCTATGTTTATCATAACTGTTTTTCTTTCACGAACACACACTGAGTTGCTGGTTGTCACTAAGAAGTGCAGAATTTGACTCAATTGTCAAATTTGACAAACTTTATTACTCTGGCTTACAGTTCATGTACAGCATGTCAGCTGCTGTCAACAAAATGGCTTCTCCTTCCTCCTACTTTGTATGTATGGTTACTTATTATAGCTTTCTAATTCACAAGGCTGGGCACCAATGACACTGGATGGCTGAGATCACTTAATCCACAACGCTACAGCTTGACAAAGACCTTCAATGCTACTAATCTATTGTAATAGATTAGAACAGTTACAGCAATTGTAATTGACACTGATTTAATGAGAAAATTGTATACTTTTTTCCACAGCAGGGGCGTAACATGTAAATGGGCTCTGGAGCACGTTAAGCCCCCAGACATCTAACTCACATGGAAGCTGATCTTGCTATCGGACCATCACAGGCATGATGTCGCTGAAAGCACAGTTTTAAATATTAAAGCAAAAGTTCGAAAATTTGGGAAATTTGCTTATTTAATTTCCTGCCAAGAGTTACATGAGAAGATTGATCATCTTTCTGTCTGTATGCTAAATATGAAGCTATTCCCAGCAGCTGGTTAGCCTAGCATAAAGACTGGAAACAGGGGGGAAGTGGCTTGTTTGCCTCTGTCCAAAGCCAAGCCTACAAGCAAAACCTGCCTACAAGCACCTTTTTTATATCTAGTTTTTCACTCACAAATAATTTGTTAAATCCGTGCAAAACAACACGTTGAGTTGTTTAAAGGGGGTTACGTGCTGGACTTTTTCTTGGCCAGGTGCAGTCACTTCCAGGAGTCTCTGTTGGTTGACAATGCTCCAGGTAACACCATGTAACTGTCCAACAAGATTTAATGGCTTAATTAGAGGTGTGTTTGTTACCTTTGAACAGAACCAGCTAGCTGTTTCCTTCTATTTCCAGTCTGTATGCTAAGCTAAGCTAACCAGCGGCTGGCTTCATATTTGGTTTACAGACATATACAGAGTGATATCAATCTTCCCATTTAAATTGAGGCAAGAAGATGAATAAGCCCAAAATGTCAGACTATTCCTTATAAATAAATATATAAATGACTGAAAGCATTGTTTTGGTCTTGAAGTAAAGTCAAGACTCACAAGTGCCAGACATGCCAGAAATATATAATTTAATAGTCAATGCTATGTGGTGAGAGAGAGTTTTATTATTATTATTAGTATTATTATTATTATTATTATTATTATTATTATTATTATTATTAAAGTCAAGATTGAAAACATTATATTGGTCATAATTCAAAGCAATGTCTTACTAATGGCATGTATGGATACCACTAAACCACTGGTCCCTTTTACAAGTGAAGGGACAGGTGGTGTTAGTGGGCCCCCTAGAGGCCTTAATGCAGTTGCACATTCTGCCAATACCTTTTGTTACGCCCTTGTTTTCCAGATTTGCGGTCAATCATAAAATTGCAACTAGGATCTCCTTTTCTCCATTTCACTTTCCTGTCAATATTTGTGGCCTTGTGTATGTGTGTGTGTTGTGTATTTATGTTACCACTGTATGTGACTTCTTTTCTGTTTTTATGTCACACCGCGTCTTCTTTCTCCAAAGCATGTAGAGAAGGTGAGAGCAAACAGGAGAATATGACTGAGATTTCAGATTTCTTGTACCAAATGTAGAGTGTGTATATGTATATATAGGGAGATTAAAAATGCCCACTTCAATCTTTAGGAAAAAGAGACTGTTGATTGGTGGAGCAAATTCTACGCTTCAACTGGAGACCAGGAGAAATGTGGCCCTTACCTCAAAAAAGGATATGACACCCTCAAAGTAAGTCTTTATGTCTTCAGAGACTTTGCACTTTATAGAATTAATTCACGTGTGTGTGTGTGTGTGTGTGTGTGTGTGTGTGTGTGTGTGTGTGTGTGTGTGATGATCATTATTTACGCAGCCCTGTATTACAACAACAAAGTGTTACAACGTGTACAAAAGTTTCTCTCCTGAGCTGTAGATGACTTAAATCTGACCTGTTTTCTCAGGTGTATGACTGCGAACTGGAGGATGTCCCAGAATTCAAAGGGCTGACTGATTTCTGCAGCACCTTCAAACTGCAGCGAGGCAAAAATGAAAATGGCGACGACGACCCGAGCGTGGTTGGAGAGCTGAAGGTAGTTTAACACCATTCAAGACACTAACACTTAATAAGATACTATCAAACATTGCTTAAAGGATTTTATTAGTGTCTAATATGTGTTGATTAATAAAAAGTACATTTGTAAAAGTAAAATCTGATTTGTGTATTGTCTTGTACCTGCAGGGTTCATTCAAGGTGTATCCTCTGCCTGACGACCCAGGTGTCACTGCTCCTCCCCGTCAGTTCAGAGAGCTGCCCGATAGTGGACCTCAGGAGTGTCTGGTCAGGGTTTATGTGGTCCGGGCCATAGACTTGCAGCCCAAAGACAACAATGGAAAAGTGAGAATGAGTCTGTATGAGCAGAAATAAGACACACGTGGGCCCGGTCGTCTGCTTTAACTTGTGCTCTCTCTCCTGCTCAGTGTGATCCATACATAAAGATATCACTGGGGAGGCATACGGTTGACGACAGAGACCATTACCTACCTAACACCACGGACCCAGTGTTTGGAAGGTAAATGCTATGAATGGACAGGCAATAAGGAACAATACTGACAATCAAAGGGGAAATCCAGCGCACACTCTAAACACTTCCTTTGTTTTGTTTAGGATGTTTGAGATGACGTGTTTCCTGCCCCAGGACAAGGACCTGAAAATCTCAGTCTATGACTATGATCTCCTGAGCCGGGACGAGAAGGTCGGCGAGACAGTGATTGATCTGGAGAACCGCTTCCTGTCCCGATATAACTCCTACTGTGGCCTGCCACAAACCTACTGCATGTAGGGAAATCTGGTGTGGGCAGTCTTAGGACTGAGGGGGAAATGCATTTAACTAATAAAATAAATAAATGTTCCCAAAATATCTATGCAGGCAGGATTAATCTCTCTTCAATCTCTCTCTTTCTCATGGCATTTTAGTTCTGGTATCAACCAGTGGCGGGACCAGCTGAAGCCGTCCCAGATTCTGGAGAACATTGCTCGTCTGAAAGGCTTGTCCAAACCCAGGACTGAAGACAACGGCACATCGCTCACCTACAATGGCAAAGAGTATACGCTGGCTCAGTTTGGTAATGTCAAGTGATTTTAAGATGTAGTAGAGTAAATGAGTGTGATGGAATCTAATTTTGATTGGACTGCTGACACCTCACGTCCCATTCTCATTCCCAGGTTGTCAAATATAGAAATGTTTAGTTGGTTGCAATCTGTAGTTTTACTGCTAGATGTCACTATATAAATGTCCATTATAGATGTCCTTTAAAACAACAGTCTCTCACTAAATACCAAGTCCGTTTTTTTTTTTTGTATGTTACTGTTCATTTATTTTTATAGTAAAATCTGTTCAAACAAATATTCCTCAACAAGACTACTACAGTCATGTGCTAGCATAGCTCTGTGATACTGTACTTGACAATGCTTATGTCAGCATGCACACAATGACAAAGTATCACTAGTATTAAGGCGCAATATGTTTTCACATCCAGAAGACAACAAGGAAATTCATCAGCACTTGGGTCCGCCCCGAGAACGACTCTGTCTGCACGTGCTCAGAAAACAGGGACTTGTACCTGAACACGTGGAGAGCAGGACCCTTTACAGCAGCTTCCAGCCCAATCTCTCTCAGGTTAGACAAATACTGGAATCTCTATATATCTACAGCCACTCTGATGCAGCTATTTTCTAAACCTCTATATTGTGTTAATTTAGGGAAGCCTTCAAATGTGGGTGGACGTCTTCCCCAAATCCATTGGCGTCCCTGGACCCCCCTTTGACATCACACCACGCAAGGCTAAGAAGTAAGTGCTGTCCAGTTCTTCAGTACTTCATCACTGGGTCACATCAAATGTCACTGAGTTAACGTTAACCGTTTTCGGATGTTCAGGTATATCCTGCGTGCTGTCATCTGGAACACCACAGATGTGACTTTAGATGAGACCAGCATCACAGGAGAACACATGAGTGACATCTATGTCAAAGGGTATGGCTGATGAATTCTTCCAATGAACTTTAGTCTTTGAATTTTATACATACAGTTTGACTTTGTTGCTGCATTCATGTCTTTAGTTTAGCCTTTTGAGTAATTTTTGTAGTCTTGCATTATGTTGTTTCTCATCAGCAGCCATTTCTAATGATTCTTCTCTCTGATTTACATTGATTTTATGTTATTCTTTAAAAGCCTAACTCGATACTATGGAAGCTATTGGGATAGGATAATGAATGCTCACACCTATTGTTCCCTTACCTGACCAGCTGGATGCCAGGCATGGAGGAGGACAAGCAGAAGACTGATGTCCACTACAGGTCTCTGGACGGAGATGGCAACTTTAACTGGAGGTTCATCTTTAACTTCGACTTCCTGCCTGCTGAACAGCTCTGTCTTGTGTCCAAGAAGGTGAGGCCTTGGCTAAACTATCACTTACAATAGAAAAACATTTGAATCCTGTACAGATGAAAAAATAAGGCATTGATGCATTTGCTAATCTAAAACATGTTTTGACGTTCTTCCTTCAAAGGAGCACTTTTGGAGTCTTGACAAAACAGAGTTCAGGATTCCCCCCAAGCTGATTGTTCAGATTTGGGATAACGACAAATTCTCACTGGATGATTACCTCGGTAAGACTCTTCATTTAACCAAAAAAGGCTTTACTTTCATGTGTTTGGTTTATATAGAGACCACCATTACAAAACCTGACCGCTGCAATATAACACTCCCAGGCACACTGGAGCTGGATTTGCGTAACCTGGTTGCTCCTGCGAAGACCCCGGAGAAGTGTTCTCTGACGATGATGGATGTTCTCGAAATGGAATCTCCACACAAGACCGAGCATACCAAGTCGCTGTTTGCTCAGCAGTCAGTCAGAGGCTGGTGGCCATGTTCCATTGAAAATGATGGAAAGAAGGTCCTGGGTGTGAGTATGACTAGAAAGTACAGCTAGAGACAGATGGATGCCTTTTTTTTTTTTTTATAGGTAAACTGTGGCTTGACCTGTACTATTGAGTAAATGAATGGACAAGAACAGGGTTGGATGGGAAGTCCCACACTAGTTGAAGACTTTTTGCAGTAGACTCTCAGTAGGAAATTTCGGAATGACCAAGGACAATATTGACTTAAAACTGTTTCAGGTTTCATGCTTCCCACTTATGTCTCTTGAGACTGACAGAACAAAGTCAGTACTTTCCCCTCAGATTTATCCTTGTTTCAGGTTTCCAGATTTGGGCTTTCACTTGACTTTAGACGTGTTTTGGGGCACCAAATGCTACAGTTCATATCTGTACTAAATTAACTATTTACTGCAGAAGCTTGGGCAGATTACATTTGGATATTCCACAAGTAGAGATCCTCATTATTATTAGGTTGTATCTTGCTCATTATGTCTGCTCGTCCTATGTTTACAGGGAAAAGTGGAGATGACGCTGGAGATTATAAGTGAAGCAGATGCAGATGAGAGACCTGCAGGAAAAGGCAGGGATGAACCCAACATGAACCCAAAACTGGACCCTCCAAAGTAAGAACTCAGACTGTGAAACATAGCCTGTTTTACATTCTGCAGATTGGACATCTAAAATATTCTTTTTCTTTCTTTCTTAGTTGACACTTAAATAAATAAATGGTTGGGATGAATCAGGAAAAGTGTAGTTTAACTGTCAACACATGGGATATAATGTCCTTTTTTTTTTTTTTTTTCCATAACCACCAGACGCCCAGAAACATCCTTCTTTTGGTTCACCAACCCATGTAAGACCATGAAGTTCATTGTGTGGCGAAGGTTCAGGTGCCTCTTCATTGGACTCATCATCCTCACCATAGTGATTCTCTTCCTTGCCATCCTGTTGTACTCTCTACCGGTAAGGATAGACAAGAGGGGACCATCGAAGGCATACATTCTGAAATCATGTGGTCTGCTACGTGCTTTGTGTGCTTAGTCCAAACTTAGGGTCAGGCAGTGATTTCATTCAATTTCTCTTTTGCCTTTTCCAGAACTACATCTCAATGAAGATAGTGAAACCACTAAGCTAACTCTACAATGGAGGAAGAGCAGTGGAACTGAAAAAGGACAACTCAAAATGTCTACAGGATCTCATGAACTGGGCACAACTACTGCCAAACCATCTCAATATCTTTTTTTTTATTGCCTATAGTATTTTATAGAGGTTTACCTGAATGGGAAGGGGTGCTTGCACATTTGCACTACATTGTCATATTTTACCATGAACACTATGTCTACACCGCTAAACTGTGACAGACAGCAATACATTTGATTCTAAACCACAGCTTTTATCTCACACATTAACACCTACACATATCAAGTGATGAGAAAACAGACCCTCCTGTACATTAAAATGCAATCCAATACAACAGTTCTGCAATCAGTTGTATTTGTTGGTGACAATGTGTGAAAGAGTGATGGGGGAGGGATTTTTGAGGCTATATTTAGGGGTTTTGTTGTATTGGATTGCACATTATTGCAAGGTGTTTCATACTGTATGTAAATGAGGTGATTAACAACAATTAATAAATAAGTTTCACCGTCTTGGTATTTATTTAAGGACTGTTGTTTAATTGCATTACATTGTGCAAGGGTTTCTATTTTTCTGGTCACTCACAAGTAATCCTGCCAAAAACAGTCAAGTATGTCTGTCTTTTGTATATTACATTTTCACAAATCTTGTCAGTTAAATATATTAAAACATTATTCAACAGGTGTCTGTGCTTTTTTTTTTTAAGCGAAATGCATGTGTATGAGTAAAAGCAGTGAACATTATGACCAGCAGTGATTTGTATTGCAGATTGAGGTGCCCTTGAGTCATTGAGACTTAATGTGGCTCCCACGTATACTATATAAAACAGAATACTACTGGTAAAATAAGGACAAACGGAAATCTGATCACAGATTTAACATCACGGATGAGACTGAGTGAAAAAAATTAAAAAATCAGTCCACGATATTTAACATTGTACAGCTCAGAATAATGCTACAGAAGCCCCAATTATATACATTTTTACATTAGTTAAGTGTTTTACCATGAATTATGAGTAATTAAATGTAAAGCTTGCTATTATAAAATATTTCTTTGTATTGAACCTTTGCTGGGATTATTCTTCCTCTGAGGTGAGATGTTTACAGTGCTGCTGCAGCAGGGCCTCCACTTCCTCTCTTTGTGCCAGACTGTTGGCTTTTCCTTGGAAACGTCCGTTCTTTCCGGCCCCCTTCCCTTGGAGAATCTCTAACACCCTGGAGAGAACAGAGAATCTCACAATACTGACCTACATTCAGGTTTTTACACTAGAGGCCAAATTCACATGTGGAGGTGTCTCTTACCGTGGTCCCAGCTTAGCCACTGGTCCTCTGGGACCAGCGAGAACAAAGCAACCAGCTCCCTTCTCCTCTCCAACAGTCAAGAAAACCAAAGTTTCCTAACAGCAGACAAAAGGGGGGCTTAAAAAATATATTTAACTCATAGAAAGAAGAACTAAGCAGTCAGGTTATCATCTTACCTCAGTGTTGATTTCATTGACAATGATATTCATGAACTCATTGTCACCCTCTTTCCTGTAGAAAGAGAAAGAGACACCATTTTCTATCTGTACGTTGACCAGGTCTCCTCTGGTTCTTCCAAGATGTTTAACATTAGGGCAATGTATAATGCTGTATCTACAAACAAGCCCTTCTCTTACTTGTGCAAGCTGAAGAAGTTGCCTCGCTGGGGGTCATTCTTAAAGTTCTGAGCGATTAGGACAGCCATGTCTCGTAGCAGGCTCAGGTTAGTCTGCCCAAGACATTTTTATGATGGTTAGAGAGTCTATCTGCAGTGTGTCATATTGCAGCAAACATACAGTATGTGGAAAAATGGAAAGAATCTCATTCTTTAAATGGGGCCCTCTTCTGGCAAGCAGCGGGAATTGCTTTTACAGTTCACAAACACAAAACAGCAAGTCACTGCTGATGACTGATGAGAAGTTCTTACCTTCTGTAGTAGCTTAACAGACTTCTGCAACTTGTCGACTGCCTCAACATGCACATCAGGTCCAGTTCTGTTAAGCAAAGACAAATATTTTTTTTCACAACTTCGTGTTTGAGTTTAACTCACATTGGTGATATTTTGATCATTCAGACTTTGAACTTACTTGAGGAGAGACACCAGTGATCGCTCTGTGCTGTAGCTTTTCTCAGCATATTTCAGAACCCTGTTTCCTGCCAGGAAGATGAGGTTTGTTTTGTTTTTCTTTCCTTTCTCAGTTCCCAGCAGCTTTATTACCTACAATTCAGATAAAGAAACAACCTTATCTTACAAGTATGACATATGAATATGTGTAAAGTAATGAATGTACACTTTCCTAAATTCAAAAGTCACATCTAAGTGCTTGTGTGAAGCTGAACCTGTAAGTGACTGAGGTTAGACACGTGGGTTCCACAGCACATGTTGGCATCGATACCCTCAATGTCAATGATACGAATGGGCCCTGCATGGTCCTCTGGCAGCCCTCGACTCCTCACCTGGTTTATAAACACACACACACACACACACACACACACACACACACACACACACACACACACAACTCATGAAACATACTGTACATGTATGTGTTGAAACAATATCTAAAACCTTGACTTATGAGTCAAGGATTGCACAGTAAGAGGACTGCACAATATCAGTATATGCACCTTCTCCACAGCAGGATCATCTATAGACAGAAGCTGAACAGTGACAGGGACATGGGCTCTGATATTTTCGTTAATGGCTTCCTCCAGCGCCTGGAGCTGAGCAGGCTTCACAGAAGGAGTGTCCAATTCAATGGTGCTTCTCTGATGACCAAGTTCCCTGAAAATAAAAAGAGAAAACAGAGAAGAGAGGTGAATGCACACGTTTTTATGGTTGGAGGGAAAGCCATCAGTGCAATGTTGACGTACCAGGATGTTGTTTTGTATCCAAAAAATGAATCTGCCAAAGCTGTGATCAAGTGTTGTCCTAAGAGTGAGGAAGAAGAGGAAGAAAACAACCGTCTCTTAGAACAAGTGTGTAATAATATACGATCATGCATTCGTAGTTCAATCTGCTAAATGAGTTACTGCATACTGAACATGTACAACCTGACCTTTCTCATTTAGTCTTACTCACCTGAGTGTTGCTGCATGTGGTCAAACCTCCTCTCCCAGTCCACCTTCACTTGCACCTCCTGGCCCTCCTCCAGAGGGGAGCTCACAAAGTGTATGGCTTCAGTCCCCTGCCTCGTCACCCTCAAAACTGGGACATCTCCAATAAGTCCATGGTCATCTGGCTGAAGGAGGACAACATGAAACAAGGACATTTTTAGAGTAATATCATATAGTATGGCTTTTAGTATTACTTCTGATACAAACATAAACACCAGCCTACCTGGCCGCCTCCCTCAGGAAACAAGATGGTGTCTTGGAGCTTCACATTGAAGCCCTTTACAGTTTCTTTCTTCCCATTGACTTCTTGTTTGAGCTCAGCAGGGCAGCAGGATACTACAGAGGTAACAAACTAAAAAGAAAAACATACAATTCAAACGTAGACCCAAACAGCAGGAGTGAGACAACAGATCTGGGTGCATGCATTAAAGGATCATTCCCACTGTGGGAAGGACATTTGAAGATCCTAAATAATAATGAAAGTGGGTAACTAGCCAGTGCTTTCACTTCAGTTAGCAACCATGCTAATCACTTCTGCAGAGGATGAACATTTTAAATGTCTTCAAACTGTTTCATACCTCTTTCATATAGCAGTCCCGTTGACACTGAAAGGCCATTTCGGAGTGTTTTAGAGGAAAAACTACCAGAAGAAGGTTTTCTCACCGAGCTCCCCCTACAGCGCCGGGACGTATATTTCAAAACACTGTCGTAAAAAAACTCACTTGCGGCAGCCTCCTCCCCCTTTGCATTATGTCTGTCACCATTAACAACGGAACAAGCCATTAAACCATCCAAATGATTTCTAAACGGGTTTATTAAGTTGAAATTGTTGCCAAATTCCCCTTTAATGTATAACGAATGACTGACTCTGACCGGCTTTGGCTGGTGTCGACTTGCGTTATTAAATATTAGTTTTAAAATGTGATTTTAAAAAAAAAAGAATCACAGAAGCGCTTAAAAAAGGGAAAATGTCAGGTGTACATAACTTTTAACTTTTACTTTTGCCTCCAAGAATGTTATTTTATTTTATTTTACAGGCGAAACAGAACAAGCTCGATATTAGGGAATATGAAGCATAATAAAATACACACATTTGATATAAGTCTAAAACGTGTGCTAGAAGTTGTTGCATATGCTCATAAAATATAGTGTCTATATTGACAGTATAACATAAAACCACTGACAGTATATATAAATAAATAAATAAATAAAATACAAATAAGAGCATAAAACTTGGGGTTCATCCAACCATGAGCATCCAAAACAATGATCAGTGGTTAAAAACATCATCACCGGCTGTTATATAAAAGACTTATACATACTTACAGATTTGTTTCACAGCTAGTCTACCGTTTGCACAAGGAACTTTTCTTGTTATATTTTATTGTTGTCCTTTTGTCTGTCTTCACTTGTTTTGTCTGTCTATGGTGCTGGTGTGTTTGCATGGCTGTACCATGAATGAAGAAATAACTATTTATGCTGCAATACTTATAACTGCTTTACTGCCATCTTCTAAATATTACTGACATAAACAACCACACCAACAACCTCTGCCCACCCCCATAATCCAGCATAAAGCCTTTTATTTACTGGCAAAAACATAACATACATAAATATATCATAATATTACTTCAGTACCATTATATCATAATAATGTCAAACCACGGTTGATAAAACTAATGTTTATTAAAATTGACATGATACATGATATGTCAGTGTACAGTGGATAATAATAAATAACCCATATAAAATATCACATATGTATAAACAGTATTGTGGACAATATCATATCAAATCATCTGCAAACATGACAAGCTTCAGCAAACGTTGTCTTCAGTATCCTGAGCAATAAAGTCACCGGAGAGAGAGCACAGTGAGTCTCAGTCAGACTGTAGAGGAAGAAGGATGAAAGTCAGTGTCAACATTTAAATGGTCAATACAATTGTGAGTTTTTGATTTTTCCAGTGAATAAATACACCACAGCAGGCCAGTATGAAAAGGTGAGCTAAAAAGAGTGTTTGTCTCATGGCTGTAAAGGCAGTTGGTGTACGGGACTACTGGTTTATCAATTATTCTATAGGCAATAATCCATATTTTATTGTTGAAGAAAGGCAAAGTAGGTGTGATTTAACCGAAAAAGGGAAAAAATCCATATTACATTTTTAAGTAACCCCCTAAACTACCAGAACGTGCACTTACATCACTAAGATCACCCATATCTGGTGCTGCACCTTTATTACTGGTAGTCATTTCTTGGATCATCTGAAAATGGAGAGACACACAGATTGAGAAATAATGTAAATATCACAAAGTTCATGCATAGTTTTCTAATCTCTCAACTTTATCAGAATGTAGTTGTATTACTGGACACATTAAATTTACTCACATCGGCATATCTATAGAACTCGTCCTGTCCCTCGTCTTCTTCATGCTCCCAGTCCCTCCAGTTATCAAAGTCTACAGCAATCCAGCTGGGCTGCAAACAGAAGGAGAAACAACACCATTTTAAATTTGATTTTGCAAAGTAAAGTTAACATTCCCTAACTAAGTTAGTTAGGGAATGTAATAGCATTCATATACAGTTGTTCTGCAATAATTGCATTCGCCAGTTCTTATTTAGCATGTGTGTTTTTATATTTGCAAATAGAATAAATTCTCCTGAAAACTGTCACCATTTCTGATCTACCTCTGTGCTCTTAAAAATATAATAAAATTATCTTGAATACACTTGAGAATTTTAGATCTGAATGTGTTGAAAATTGGCTGATCACTTTAAACACACACACACACAGAGAGAGAGAGAGAGAGAGAGAGAGAGAGAGAGAGAGAGAGAGAGAGAGAGAGACTTACCTTAGCTTCATCCCTCTGAAGACGAGGCCATGCAAAATCAGGCTTAATCTTCCTCAGCAAGACATGGATGGAGCGATCGTAGACTCTTTCTCTGGAATCCTTTTAAAGAGGCGAAAGCATAAAAACACACACTTATATCTAACATCACACTGACCGTATATATATTTCCGTGTACAACATTTGAGGCTAGTTATATTTCATTGGTCTCATCATGCTTAAAAATTGGATGCTTACATGAATTAGAACTTTGTCGTAGAAGTACAGCTCATTGTAGATCACGTCATCTGAGTTGTTTTTGCAGCTGTTGTAAAGAAGAGACAAGGTTGTCAAGGGAAGAACATTATCATTTCACTCCCTGTGAATAAGACTGTCAACAGACTAACTGTGTAACACAAGACAGAGATGACGAAAACAAGAAATAGACGCCACGAACAGAAAAACAAAATTACACTTATATGTTTAAACTCACCATAAAATCATTTTGTCTGTCTGGATATCGACCTGGACATCTTTAGGTTTGTGAACCATAAAGTTGACTGTGACATATTTCTTTCTGTCAAACCACAGTGCATGTGCTGGCTGACTGTTAAGACACAGGAAAAACTATTATTATACTCAATAACTATTTTTATAAATCAAATATATGTTCCTCTTCATAATCAGAACATCTGTTGGTCACTTACCTCTCCTCCGGTCTGACAATTTTGGGCTTGTTCATTCTAATTCTTGTGCTAAACTAAAACAAAAACTACTCTCTTATTCCTTTGACTACCAGAAAGTAAAAACCATGTGGCGTGTTAGTTCGGGCTGTTTGCTCTAATGCAGTGGCCAGGCCCTGAAGGCTATATATAGAGCAGTTGGTATCAGCTGCTGGGACACTTGCCCCTTCCCCTGCCCATATAATCTGTCAGTGGAACTCTCTGGAAAACAGATGCGTCTTCTGGGGGAGGCTGAAGTTTTGGAGAACCCATCACCAGTAGTTCAGCCTCCCCGGTGCTTTGGGTGAAGGTTGGGGGGCAGGGAGACACAAAACAGAGAAGTGACATCTGACATGTGACATCTAAATGTAGAAAAAGGACCCATGGATGTCAGTAAACACATCATGCGAATTCTTCTCAGACTATTTGTGTTGTTCTTTTTAGTTTTATTTAATTTATTTTAATGGAAAATAATGAAGGGGGAGGCTGAACTACATGTTTATTGTATAAGTTTTAATCAAGTGTTTGTTCAATATGGATTGTTACATTTTTGCTCCATGTAAAATGGCTGGGATAATGGAGTTAAAACCTTACATTAAACTTCAGCACTGATCTAAACTCCATCCACTGAGGAAGACCCTTAGATCAGGTTGAAAGCTCCAAAACAAGCTAGATCTTGCTATTTTTCCAGATTTACTGGTATTAACTATAAAATCACGATGCAAATTTGAATGCAGTTAATCTAATGTTGCAAAATGTAGTTAACTAGGAATGTGTAATGAATTAACCATTGACAGCATCTATCAATACATCAACCAACAACCCAATGAACAGGGTTTTGGGCAGAGAGTCGCCCCCTGCTGGTCTGGCGGCTCACACTAGATTTTTCACCGGAAATGCAATTCTCTGCTCTGTCTGTGCGGGGAATGTGGCGCGGGAGACCCAGGCAACGCTGTGTACATACAAACTTCTGCCTGAAAGACCAAAAAAAATCAATACATAGTTTTCTTTCGTCTTTTTAACCTACAGCTCGGGGAGTTTTGCTATCTGTGACCACAGTCCCACAGGAAGTGTCGCTCACCAAGGTGAAAATGCCTCGTAGACGACAGGTAAGAACAAATGTAGACGAGAGGGTAACGTTAGCTAAGTTAGCACCGCTTCCACTCTCCGGACGGGGAGAAGGTTCCACCATATTCCATTCAATAATCAGACAATTTAGCATGCCAAAACATGACATTACTTCTGCATATGTTCAGTCCACCGAGCAGCATTTAACGATTCAATTGATCTTCTACTGTATTAGTTGTCACATTTTGCATTTGTGAACCTGTTCAGTTAACATTAAATTAAGTTAACTAAATCGTAGTGGGCGGTAACAGCGAGCGGCTAAACCAAATCTAAAACTTAACCTTGGGTTTTAATACAATAAAACGGTGCTTTGTATATCATATGTATGCCGAACTTACATTGAGACCACAACAACTGTTATTATGTCAATAACAAGTGAATCGGTACAAGTTTGAAAGCTCACCAATACGCACCATATCTTAAAATGCGAGATTTGTTAATGCAGTTTGGTGTCACACTCTATTAGCCGAGTGAGAAAACCGGGGGCAGCTTAGCTAACGTGACGCGCTAAGCTAACAATAATAATAGGTTGCTGGAGTGCTAAGCAGACTAGCTACTTTGCCGTGTAGCCACTACAAAGGCTTGCAGCTGTAACAGTTTGAGTAGTTGCTCTTTTAGATGTCCTAAATGCTAATTGTGGTAAAATATAATCGTTAGCCGCAAACGTTAGTCACAGCTGTTTAACCTGCTACAAACCCAGCTAACAGCGAGCTATCAGCTGTCTGTGGCCTTCCTGTCTGAGCAGAATTACATAGAGGTAGCTAGATTAAAAGCAGTGGGCAAACCCGTAAAGCGCTCTTGTTGCAGGAGCATCAGCTGTCCCAGAGTTTGCCTTGCTGGTTTTATGTATTCAAGATCATTCAATAGCAAGCTAACTTCATTGATTGTGCTTTGTGGTAAAGACCTCTATTGTTGTCATAGCTCATTTCCATCACTCACACTTGCCTTGCATCGGATTCCACATTTTTGTACCATGATTATAGAGTTTGTGTAGGATGCCTCTCATTTAGTTTTTTCCTCCCTGATAGAGACATATGGCCGGGAGTGGTTCAGATGGAACTGAAGACTCGGACTCATCGGCTGAGAGAGAACAGACCAATAGTTCAGAAAGTGATGGAAACATGCCCAAGAGACAACGCCTCACCAGAGCCTCCACTCGCCTTAGCCAAAGCTCTCAGGGTTAGCCTACATTGCTACATAGAGCTTTTACACTGTTCTTTATCTCAGCTGTTTAATCAACATGGCGGTTTGACTCCTTTGGCTTTAGATACTCCGGACTTGAAGCGAACTGCGGACCACGATGAGTCTCCACCATTGACGCCCACAGGAAATGCCCCCTCCTCTGAATCTGAACTGGACATCTCCAGCCCCAACGCCTCCCATGATGAGAGCCAGTCCAAAGATCAAGCTAACAGAGACTCGGATAAGGACCTCTCCCATCGACCCAAGCGCCGCCGCTGTCATGAGACCTATAACTTCAACATGAAATGCCCTACACCAGGATGCAATTCACTCGGTAAGATACCTGCCCTTTTTATAATCTCATGCAGAGGTTCATGAAGGGTATCGCTGATTATTTATCTCAATGTGCTGAATTTGATTAATATTCAGTGATATCCTGCACTATCATAATGTCATTGTATTAACATAAGTTACCTCCTTTTCTCAATTTGCACAGGTCATCTCACAGGAAAACATGAACGTCATTTTGCTGTATCAGGTTGCCCTCTTTACCACAATCTTTCTGCTGATGAATGCAAGGTGAGTATCTTAAAAAAAACATCATATATCTCTTTTAGTTGGTGGTCTGATTATATATTTCAGTTGCTTGTCTACTGTCATTTACTATGGTAGTTGTATTTTTCTTTCTTTCTTCATCTTTCATGTTTTATTTTTTCCCTTCATGATGTAGCTGCTTTAATATTTATGATGTTTAAAGGTACTTTTTATTTAATATCGTTCGGGGTGTCCATCAGCATCCATCAGTTTAATAAATGGGTATTCACAGTCAGATACAACAGTGTAGAACTGTGTTTTTTTACTTAACCTTTATGGTAGCAAGGGAAATTTTAATTAGATGGCCATAACACTGACATACAGTATCAAATAGGCTTAGCAACACATGGAAACATATTTGACAATTTGAGCTGCGTCTTATCATTCGCAGACTTATTTCAGAGAGAAGTAACACGACCAGGAGCAGGTAGCTGTTTTGTTTTTTGTAACACAGACTATAATCTTTCCTTTACTCTCACTCTTAGGTGAAAGCCATCAGCCGTGAGAAACAAGAGGAGGAGCTGAAGGGGCAGGAAGAGAGCAACTCGCGGCACGCAACTCGTCACCAGGTAGCCCCTTTTGCGAGATTGGCATTATGTGTGACTGCAAAACCAATGGTCTTTGTCTTATGGTCTGACTATATATATGAAGTTAAAATTTGTTACTGTGCAGGTCTGAGCTCATCCTGAAAGTCAATGTATTTCTATCTTGATTTTCAGACACCAACACCGAAACAGAGCAGATACAAAGAGCAGGTGGCTGAGATGAGGAAGGGGCGAAACTCTGGCCTTCAGAAGGAGCAGAAAGAAAAGCACATGGTACATCACTGCCTCTCCTCTGGTATATTTGTATATTGGATTGTTCGTAGTCTTATCTCTATTCCTCTCTGTGTGTTTGTGGTCCACAGGAGAATCGGCAGGCACACGGCAACACCAGAGAGCCTCTGCTGGAGAACATCACCAGTGATTATGACCTGGAGCTCTTCAGGAAAGCCCAGGCCCGTGCATCTGAGGATCTGGTAATGGGCTGTTTCACCATCAGCGTCAGTCTTGCTTTAAGATTTTAAATACTAAACTAATTCCCATTTCCATATTCTTCAGAACTTGCATGAATAACCAATTATGACCCTATACAGAGTATGTCAGTGCAACCGTTGTTATTGCCTGATAACTTTACCACACAGGTTGATGATAACACCAGCCGTAACACTATATGTTCCTACCTGTCTTTTCTGCTGCAGGAGAAGCTGCGTATCCAGGGTCAGATCACCGAGGGCAGTAACATGATCAAGACAATCCTGTTTGGCCGCTATGAGCTGGACACCTGGTACCACTCGCCCTATCCTGAGGAATATGCACGTCTGGGCCGCCTCTACGTCTGCGAATTCTGCCTCAAGTACATGAAGAGCCAGACCATTCTCAGGCGGCACATGGTCAGAGTCAGATGTATTTTTTTTTGTTTGTTGTGAGACATCTGCTGTCTCATATATCTGACTCACTGATAGTTCATAATGTTTAAAGCCAAAAATGTAAAGGTTCAAAAATGTGAGTTAAATGTTGCTATGTTTAGCAAATATGAATTTTATTTGATTTAAGACATTTGGATATATAATTTTGGCAAATAGCTGTTTGTTATTCATACTACTAATACTAGCACGGCTATTAACACTGCATTATTGCCCTCGGATATATTTTGTATTTTCTGTGTCTGTACTCACTAAGTTCTTTGGAAATAATGCTGATGTGTATTTTATTACGTGTCTTTTCAGGCCAAGTGTGTGTGGAAGCACCCTCCGGGAGATGAGGTGTACAGAAAGGGGGCTATATCTGTGTTTGAAGTTGACGGCAAAAAGAATAAGGTAGTGAGACTTTTTTTTTATGACTTCTGGTTTTAACAACATTGGGAGATTGGTTACATCAGTAAAGCAAGCATCAGACTTTTTCAGACTATCAAATAGGCAACTATAATAAGGGTGTGTGTGCTATTTTGTCCTCAGATCTACTGCCAGAACCTGTGTTTACTTGCCAAGCTCTTCTTGGACCACAAAACGCTGTACTACGACGTGGAGCCTTTTCTCTTTTATGTCATGACTGAGGCTGACAACACCGGCTGTCATTTAGTGGGATACTTTTCTAAGGTAAATGGAAAAACAGGTTTAGATTTATGTTGAATGTTGAATTAATTGTAATTGTAAGAATTATATTTCTAATTCTCTTTTTTTGTAAACTTTCTTTTTCATTAAGGAGAAAAATTCTTTCCTCAACTACAATGTATCCTGTATCCTGACAATGCCACAGTACATGAGGCAGGGCTTCGGCAAGATGCTCATTGACTTCAGTACGTATAATGTTTACTGGTTTTTCTCTCATTTTGTCAATTGTTTACAGAGCCAAAATGATTTCAAACGAGTGTAGACTATCCTCATAGTTGGATTAAACCGCAAAGCAGAATACTCAGTGTCAAATGTGTTATTTCCGTGTACAATATAAAGACACAAAAGACACGAAAATAGGTAAACACTGAAAAACTAAAATCTCATAATAAAAGGCATGCGTGGGAAAGAATAATTGAATCCTGCACTGCTCTGTTTATCATTAAAGATGGCTATGAAGCTTTAAGTAAAGTTCTTCATCATATAATCCGTATAGTCACATAATATTCAGTTCAGTAATATTTACCTAGGACTTTTGCATTAGATTGTATGAGACTGTATATTTGTTTGTGACTGCATGATTCCCCTTATGCATATCCTCTAATAGCTAGCCCATTAAGCAATTCATGAGCCACTACAGTCGTCAATCTCAGATTAATTTTTGATTCAATTTAAATTTGAAACACTGATGTATTTTGGGCATTTAGGAATGAAATCAATATTATTAAGATATCTGTTTGCAGACCATAATAAAATATGGATTTTTTAATGTATGAGTTCCTGATTGTCCTCTGTGCGTTGTTTAGGCTACCTGCTGTCCAAAGTGGAGGAGAAGGTGGGCTCACCAGAGAGGCCTCTGTCTGATCTGGGCCTCATCAGTTACCGTAGCTACTGGAAGGAAGTGTTACTCCGATACATGTACAATTTCCAAGGCAAGGAGATCTCCATCAAAGGTGAGCGAGGACACACAATTCAAGCAGGCTGCCCACTTGTTTGGTGGGAAAGGTTTATTAACACATGAAAAGATTGCCTTGAACAAAGGTACACGCATGCATATGCAAAACTAATTGACTGTTGTAAAATTTGCTTGATGCAGAGATCAGTCAGGAAACTGCTGTCAATCCCGTGGACATTGTGAGCACCCTGCAGTCTCTTCAGATGCTGAAGTATTGGAAGGGAAAGCACTTGGTGTTGAAGCGACAGGTAAGATGCTGGTCTAATGGCCTGTGTAGGTTATTTATTTTTTTGCTATTGAAGTATTAAAACATCATGTTGCAGAAATCCCTGATCTAAATGAAAGGATACACTTTAAATACTACATTTTCTGCTGGTCAAACAAATACTCTAACATTTTCTCTTTTTTTTTCATATACATCATTCCTAATGTATTTTTGAAAAATGACTTTACTTTAATGTAATCACTGTACTTTGACATCCCAGTGTTTTATTTCTTTTCTCCTTCCAGGACTTGATTGATGAGTGGAAAGCGAAGGAGATCAAGCGAGGCAACAGCAACAAAACCATCGACCCAAGCTCACTAAAATGGACCCCTCCCAAAGGGACATAAGCACTAAGATCCTCAGGCTACTGAATGAACTCACCTCCAGCCTCACCAGCCACAAGTAGCCTAGACCTACGAACTGTCAATAAAGACCAGTGTTCGTTCTTTCTTTCATGTTTTTACCCCGCTTTATTTGTGTCCCAGAACTTTTTTTACTTTAGTATTTTACTTTGATTTGTATTTTTAAACACCAAACGTTCCAAATCCAATGATTCTTGACTTAAGCATTGTCAAACAATTAACAGTAGAGAATCTGTTTGTCTTATTCGTTTTAAGACCGCCTATGTCTACTAAGCTTTGAATGTTCTATGATAAATGGTCCATTGTGGTGGATAACATGAATGTTTTTCTTTGCTCATGCAAAAAGAAAAAAAAAAACATACCTACATTTGGCAGCATTTACAAGCTGTTATTTTTTATTTCATTCAAGAAATGTGCATTTTTTAAAGATGGTAGCTCTTTTTGTTTGGGATAAATACAATAATTGTTAGCATGAACTGAAACAATAAGCAGAGTGTATTTTGAGGAGTATGATGTATGGTAACGTCTTCTTTGGTTGGTGTAAAATTGTATAGATCATTATATGTACTTCTTTTCTCTAGCTCCATCAATACAGGATTTGGACCCATTCCTCTGACGAACCTGCCAAATAACAGTGATGAATTCAGATATTTTTAATTTGCTGAGAATATAAAAAAAAAATTATGACAATACCACTGTAAGAATGCACATAGAAATAAAACAACCTCAGGTTTTTATACTGATACAATCATACCTTGCTTGTGTGGTTCCTCCGAAACATCGATCGCAGTGGTTGTTACAGGTGGAATTATTCTGGCTAAAGATTCTGTAATATGCAGAAAAGATTTTAATGGGACTGTCTTTGTTTTGTATTTTTAGTCCTGGTTATTAAATGTGTATTAGCAATTTGATATTTTTAATATCAATAAAGCTGCCTTGAAATTTTGAAATGAAATCAGATTTTGTTTCTTGGTGTTTGTGCTTACCGCCACTCGAAATGCTTCTTCCCATCAGGCCCACAAACGTCTCTCCTTTATTTCCTACAAATGTGAGAAAGAGGCTCAATTGTACAGAGAAGTAGTTTTATGGTTATAATGTTATAATGATGGTTTTTAAAAGATAATGCTTTCAAATACATCTGCAGTTCAGAGAGGATTACATTGTACGCATTAAAAGCAACATCAAGATACTTACGTCTGTTTACTTGAAAAGGCTTCTTTGTACCTGTGAGGGGGATAAACCAAAGTTACCAGTGGATTTATAGTCATGCATCATGCATTCATGTTCATTAACACAGACATACTATATTATAAGGCCTAGAAAAGAAAATATTTTAAAACACAAAAAACAGTAATGTTTTTCTATACAGATATTAGGTTAGAAGCAACCTGAGCGTTTCCCCATGAGTCCATAGAAGCGAAGGGCTTTTGATCTTTTCATCAGACTGATCATCGGCTGGGTCAGACCTGCCTCCAGAGACTCATCCTGATAGAAAAATCAATAACACATTGTTGTTTTTTTTATTGTAGTAAAATTAGGAATTAAATAAACCTTTTTATAAATAGACATTACACTTTCATTACATTGTACAAATTACAGATAATTTAATTCATAATCCCTTGATATTTGAGAACATTTCTGGAATAAAAAACTAACATTTGTCCACATTCTCTAATTTCAGATAAGAACATTAAATCACTGATGCTCACCTGCCAGTCTTTTGGTAACCCTCTTTCCTCTTCCACAGTAGAAGACAGCGCCTGATAAGTTTGCACTAAAGCACAAAAAGTCACAACAACAAGCTGGATCTTCCAGTTATCCATCTCTTTGTCACAGGGAATTGTTTTGCTTCTCTTCAATCAAAATAATATTTTTTAATCTAAAAAAGCTCAGAAAGCATTTAAAAATGATATTAGCAGATGTGATTCACTGTTATTCTCTGTGCCCCAACTGTATCCAGGGTGCCTTTATACCTCTATACCCTATTCTGACAGACCCCTCCCCTCCAGACATGATTACGCACATGCCTCCATTGCATTTAAAAACTTCCAGATTTTTCATATTACAATAAGAGGTTTCTTTTTTACCTCAGGTATAAAGTATTTTTCAGCCACTACACATTAAATATCTGATGAATCAAAGATGACATTGTTTTAAATTGAACAGATTTTATATTTTCAGTTGTTCTATAGTTGGAAGGATGTCCTCCAAAGATTAACAAGCAGTGTTAAATTCTAAGAAAACCCCCACATGTTCAATAATATTAAAGTTTAAATATTTACATTTGAGATGGTCACCTTTCATCTCCATTTTTATTAGACATCTGGATTGCTATTGGTCTAAGAATGTTCTCTGATGTGCACATGCGTCTTTGATATCACCGGGGACGGGCGCAGGACATGCAGGCGCGTCAGCTCTTTGGGAGATGCTTTGCAAATAAAACCATGTGCTTTGAAGGTGGTGCTTTATTGGTAAGCCAGTTGACTTGATGAATTACTGCTAGTTCTGTATTTATTAAGCAGGACAGCTCGAATGTGACGCCTGAGGTCAAATCAGCTGATGATGACGATAAGAGATGGATTTAAGACTAATATACTGAAGGTTTTATGTAACACTGATGGTCAGAAGTCAAGCAGATGATGAAAAAAATAACTCATTATATATAAAAGCCTTCAAATAGGCAGTTGAAGTCTCAAGTGTAATGAAATATGTATGAAATGTGTTGCACATCCTAACCTGAAATACAATAAAAATAAAAATAAAATATCAACATATGTAACTTTTTACATTTATTTTGCATCTCCTGAGATAATTACACTGTTATTAAACCTTTTCATGATCTTTACTTACTTAGCCATTTAAATGCTCTGTTTTAATGAAAGGTGAGCTCTTTTTCCAACACTCTGGCTATAGAAATTTCTGGAGAGGCAATTACTTGACAATCTGTGTGCTGTAAGGACACCCACTTGAAACAAAGCTGACACACACATCAAATGCTTTGATCCGCGCACAGGTGCTTCTAAAAGCAAGAAAAGGCCGGGACAATTAGGCCTGAAAGGCAATTACACCTGAACAGCCCTTGTGCACATAATCTAACCCACAGCTAATGTGGAGTGCCGAATCAAAAGAAATCAGAGGCACAGCATCTGCATATGAAATGGTTCAGTCACAAAGAGCTCCTCGTAATGACAGAACACTGCGTCTCCATGTGACGCAGGGGAGCGGTTTGGGGAGGCCATTTCAGGATTTGCACTGTTCTATGCTGGTGATTCACTGCGGGTGTTGAGTCTGATGTTAACCTCTGATCCATTTCACCTTCAAATATGTGACTCTTCTAGTGTTTTCCTGTTGAATTATAAATCTTATATGACATTTGAAGTGATGCATTACAAGTGTAATCATGCCCTCTTTAGAGAGCTTTGATTCTGAAGAAATGTGTTATTGATTGCTGTTAATCACTTACAGTTCATCACAGTACACTTCAAGGGATATTTGGTTGTCACAGTAATCTGCCAACCTGTAAGAATTATAACTGTAATGTAAGTTTAAAGATCCCCTGCAGACATGTATTAAGACTTATAGTCTGCTTGGAACAATAATGTGCATTTTTCCACAAAAAAAGTTTAATTTAATTAAATTAAAATCATTAAAAAGGCATCCACTCCTTCTACCTTACACATTCCAGAATCTATTAATATGTAAATGTTGTTTAGTTTTCCTGCTGGAGACAACATGTCTCCTACTTCACTGAGTCTATTCTCAGTGCATGAGCACTGGTGGCTTCAAGTTTCTACATCACACTTACATAAGAAGAAGAAGAGTCAATGTTTTATACACATAGGAAATACAATCACACACACAGGGCTTATAAACGTGCAAATGTTGAACTATGGGCTGCCACGTAGCAGCACTCCAGGAGCAGTTAGGAGTTAGGTGCCTCTCTCAAGGACACCTTGGTAGTGCCCAGGAGGTGTAACTGGCACCTCTACAGCTATCAGTCCATTCTGTGGTCACTGTGGTCCATTTTGGATTTTAACTGGCAATCCTCCAGTTCCCTACAGACTGAGATATTGCTAAGTTGCATGCTGGACCAGGTTTGACTTCCAAACTATTTGTGATGTCACTAATCATGCTTATAGACCCATCCCTTAAAAGTTCAAGTCTACTCAGTCTACTCGTCATATCATTTTTTAAGGGCATTTGAGCCTTTATTGGATAGGTGATAGTAGAGAGATGACAGGAAATAATGGGAGAGTGAGAGGGACTAGCAAAGGTTACGCTGTGGTCAGTGGCTTAACCCCTGGGCCACCAGAGCTCCCCAAAAGATTGACCATTTTTAACAGGAAGCCTGCATTACAAACTGCAGATGTGGAGCTTGAAAGTATTGGGCATTAGGCAGACTGGTTCGAAAGAAAGACGCTATTGAGTTGAAGTGGGATGTAGGATCTAGAGTGTCTGAAATTTGACACATAGAGACTAAAAGTCTAGATATCTCAGCCTCTGCTGCTTATGCTTAGTAAAGTGCAATACTTAATAGCTGGACTGTCCCTTACTTGCAGGTGTCGGCTAGTGAATTCAGTATTTCCAAGAGAATGTAATTGAGATGCAGTCTGCTGTATTACGCTGATCATCATCAGGCAGGGAAATTGAACATGACACATACTGTCTACAATAACTGTGCAATTTATTTGTGGTCTGAAGTAATAAAAAACATTACTTTTCTATTCATGTGACTAACTGCTTTCATATGGTGTTTAGTAAATGCCACCATATTGTCAGTTTACTAATAGCAAAGCCACAGCTAAGATACAGATAAATGACTTAAGGTGGCGCTACCTTACAAAACCAGTCGAGGACACCTCATTGTTAAGACCTGAGAGCCATAATCTCCTGTTGACAGATACTGTGTTATCAGATGAGTCAAGCCTCACAGATGCTCCACTGTGGTGAGCTCAGACTAGAGGCCTGATATCATCACCTCTGAGCCTGACAGAGCGGCTTTAAGGCTGACTGTTAGACCTGCTATCTCGTCACAATCTGGTTCCATCTTAACGCTGACAAATGAGTCCATTCATGGCACTAAGTGGGCTTTACTGGAGCTGCTCAGTCAAGTAAAGAGAAGAGACAAAGGATATGTTAATATACTGTAATGTAAGTGTTTAACTTTAAGATCTCCTCCAGACGTGTCTTTCAGGTGTATAAAAGTACTTGTCTTTGAATAATAATTTGTGTCTGGTACAGCAGATGAATATGAAAACAACCTACTGATGTCAAACTCTGCACAGACATTCTGTACAGTGAGGGTCAAACAATAAGCAAAACACATTTTTGAGTGGAAGTGGGCTTTAATTATAAGTTTCTTATTACCGTGATATAGCAAGTTGACTAAAATAATAAAAAGGAGCTGTGTTTCAGTTCAATATTTGCTAAAATGCACTAAAACTATATATATAAAAAAAAACCTTAAGGTGTAAAGTTCAAGGAAATGTAATCTTATAAAAGTATTTGTGAATTACTTTTGTTTGTGAATTGTATTTATTTCTTTCCCACAAAGTTTTTTTTTGTCAGTTTTATAGCCCTGTTCATTTTCCAGGATACATTACGTCCAGCAGGTGGCAGTGTTGTCTAACCGATGAAATCAAAGCCCCAAACCTGAAGTACAAAGACGAACTGTTGCCTCCACCTCACTGGAGATATTTTAAGAAGACTTTAAGGTCCTCATGATGGATTTATCGTCTGCATGTTTGGCTGACATATCCAAAAAACTGAAAGAATGAACAAGTACTGCCTTGGTCAGGGAAAATGTGACACTTATTATGATTTGTCTTTGATTTTTATGGTTCATTTGTGTTCTGTTTGTGAGTTTTAAAAGTAATTTTGCCAGCATGCAATATTTTTACCACCACAAAGATATTTTGTGAAAATTTGTTGTTGAACACAGTGAACTGGTGAAGTTCTCACTGTGTTGAATTATCAAAATATGAAAACCATGTTGTTGTAAAATGCTAGTTTGGCATAAATCTAGTAAAACTGTGGACTTTGACTAATGACATCTGCTAAGACCACATTGTACAGCAATATAAAAACACTTTTGAACTCTTTTCAGTTTAGGAAAAAAAATGGCATCACAGTAACATCACAGTAACATCACAGTAACATCACTAATAACTCTACTCTGGTAATTATTTTAGATCCAGGGTCAATTTCTGAACCGCCTAAGACATGATATAAAGGCGCATCTGTAAGTAAAAATTAGATTTTGTGATCTTTAAACAGATCATGAATTATCCATTTATTTATCACCGGGTTGTTTTACAGGTAAAGATTGTAAAGACCCCTGAGGCAAATTGTGATTTGTGATTTTGAGCTGTATAAAAATTTTTTGACTTACTTCCATATCACCTTAAGTAATATGACTCACATTGTTTTCATGTTAAAGTATCACACACCAGAATAGCTCAGACATTGTATGAAACAGGCTCCGTCCATACAATGGTAGGCGGTACAACTTAGTGAACATGTAACTATAAATTATCGTAGGAGTTTTCACTGTTGCAGTCAGCCTGGATGCCTCCTAACTCTCTTGTTCCCCGAGTTGTTTTTCCCGTTTGGTGCCCTGTGGCACTTTAGTGTGGTTTCTTTCTAGAGAGGCGTGCATTTGGCTCTTCAAGGCTCTCTGAGAATGAAATACCACTGTCTGCCTTTGCATGCTCAAACTGGGGGCTTCAGGCTGGTACTGTGGTGATTTTGTCTCTATGTGTCTAACAGGATGAGACAGGCATGGGGGTCATGAGATTGGCCGGATCAGTCATGGACCAAGAGGAGCATGCGTTGTGTATTTTGTGTTTATATCTCAACGGCAAACACCTCAGTAGTGCCATATCAACTCCAGCGTGAGCACACTGTGAAGAGCAGATG